ACATATATTAAAATTCAATAGTAATTAACCACCAGTAGCTTTTTGTAGGTGATATCAACGACATAATGGGTGGTATGAATAAAAACGAAGTACTTGCTACTACTACAAGTATTAGTATGTTCTACGTAGTATTTACTCCAAAACGAAGTAGATACTACATTTCGGTTGTTTAAAAATGAAGTATCTACTTCGCTTTGAAGTAAATACTACGTAGAACATACTAATACTACTAGCAGTAGCAAGTACTACGTTTTTATTCATACCACCCAATCAATGGACATACGTTTTTTGCTACCAGTATCACGTGACTTTAAAATGGTATTTGTCGGACTATACCTATGTACGATATTTTTTATAGATAAGGATTCACAGAACATAATTCCATTTGAAACTGAAATTCTGTGGTAATCCAAAGGCCCGTTTTTCCAAAATCTGAGTTCTGGAAAACCTATGTTTCGCATAATGGAAAATAAGACAGCCATACCTATAATGTACTAAAAAGTATCCTGAAGAAAGGTAAATGGCAATAATTGTATCCCTATATCTTTTAGGCATTTAACTAATGTAGATGACAGATGTACCTACTTAGATATTATTTACATTAGATATATCACGACTTTTGTTTTTAAGTCTCTCATAATAGCTATTACTTATAGCTGACTCTGTCTACTTCTGAAAAAGGAAAACTTTTCCCAGATCATTATGCTGATCACTACAGACAGAATGGGGATGAGCTCGGGGATGAGACAACCCTTAGTCGTAATCAATTGCGCCGTCATGATTTTAATACTCTTGTGCTTTAGAAACCCCTCTTAGATAAAGACCCTATCATAACTAGGCTCCAACAATGAAAAAACTGAACCAATCACATACGTGCAACGAAAATAAAATTCCTAGGAGGGTATAGGCATCGTCCCATCCCTCTCTAATTTCAAAATCTAGACCGCATGGGAGATTATCTATCCAAGAAATATATTTTTGTTGGGGGAAATCAAAAAAAATTGGTATGATTCAAAGTTGTTCTTGAGGAAACTTTTTCCTGGTGCGTAATATGAATGACTGTTTTAAAAGTCAATGTATGCAATCATAGCTGATGGGGTTTGGATAGTTTCTGCCATAGAAATTTGTTAGGTACCTATGTATCCACTATCAGCTTGTTTTATCTAAGAATTCCTATTGTTCACATTAAATAACGTCAAAAACTTTTACATTACCCATATACAAATAGCGAGGGGTTTGTCACTTAACAAAATTTGTACACCGATTACCAGTACTAACTGAGATATTTCCACGTATTAGCAGATATTTCTATGTACCTAATAACAAGTTATTGCCAACTATTTCCATGAATTGACAAAATATTTCCACATACTGCCAGGTATTTCCCTAGTATTATCACAGGTATTGCTATGCTATTGACAGACTAAAATCAAATATTTGTTACGCCAGAATTCTATAGGTATTGACATATCCACAGTTATTAATGGGTATCAACCAATGACATTAACATATATTGCCTAGATATCTACAAGTATTCACATATATTTCCTACATAATTAACAAGTAGATATTGCAGAGTATTGACACTATTGACATAGTATTTACCTGGTATTGACATATATTAACCAGTGATTTGTACACCGATTAACAAGGTGAAAAACCCCTCGACAAATACAATCTGTTTCAACTTTGTTGAATGTTTATTTTGTATAGTGTAAATTGCATCATCAATAATAAGAGTTAATCAAATAAATCGGTAACTAAAAATTGTCCCGAAAAGCTTTTATTTTCATCAGCTTATGGGGTTTACATATTCGTCAACCATTTTGGTTCAAGGAATTAAATTATTTTGGCCGAAAGCCGTAAATAAATTAGTGAAACCCCAATGATGGTCAAAATTTGTCTGCACACCCATTCCAAAACTACCCACCCCTAAAAAGACTTAAATGCAATGGTGAAGTGAAGAGGCGTGGTGCGGGTGATGTACAGGGTGGCGCGGCTTTTATTTCGAAGGAGTTGAAAATTTCTTGAGACGGTGACTTTGGAGAGTATATTCTCATGTTGAGCGAAATTCTGACTCACTTGAAACTTTTGTTGGTATTTCAACGATTTTTCATATCAGAATTCAAATATATTACTTCAGTTTCGAAATAAGATTAGCTGGAAGATTAGTAAAGCGATATGTGCACCTTTGGGAAGAGGGTTTATCGCGTTGTCCATCAGTAACCTGAGTTTTCGGGTAGTGGATACCAATGTAGATAAAATAGGTATACAACAGGCAAACGAAACTTTTGAGAATATAGCTAACTTATAGTTTTTCAGTGACTATAACAGGAACTTGTTTTGAATAACTCGCAGTGGCGTATTTTAAAATTTGGCGCCCTGGGCCTTTAAGGTTTGCCGCCCTAATTTAACAAAAAAATATATATATATTGGAAAAAGATCAAACGAAAAAAGAAACGCTATTTATTTATTGAATATTTTTATATGTATTTTTTGCGATGCACAAATTGGTTGACAAATTCGTCCAATGATAGGTCTGTTCTCTCAAGAGTCTCTGACAGTTTGCAACCTGTCAAAAACAATCGCTCAGCTAAGTTACCGATTGATCTTGGACCAAAAGGAGCATTTACATTCACTTCAAGTTAAATTTGACGTTTGATATTTGATCATTTATATTGCAGAACAAAAACGTCAAGTCAAAATGTCAGAATTTAATGAGAATTATGATGAATAACCTAAAAATTTGACATTTGACAAATTTCTGCTTGCCCTTGGCAAGCAGCTCGCCCAAATTTGAAGTGCACTTCGAAGTGAACTTCAAATTTATTTCAATGTAAATGGATCTGTGCTGTCGCCATATGCCAAGCGCGTCAATTTCAAGACAAATTGGACTTCGAAGTGAATGTAAATGCACCAAAAGGCATTGAAAACATGATGAGTGATGTGCTTGTCACAGTTTGCAAACTGTCAGAAACTTTTGTGAGAACAGACCTATATTGGCACCATCATAATTGACAGATTTTGTCTAGTGGCCTCTATATCAAGAATGGCTGAACTGTCCTGTCCGGTCTTCGCTTATACAGGAACGAAGATAACTATTTATTCTGTCATCGGGTGATCAGACGGTCGCCGAATTCCCCCATTTCTTGTAATGTTATCAATTAAATATTAAGTTTTAGTTTTGTTTTTGTTGGTAATTTGATAGCATTCCTAAGCATTGGAAGGGGGGGCGGTTTGTGCCGCCCCTTGCAGTCCTATCGCCCCGGGCCATGGCCCCCATGGCCTTATGGTAAATACGCCACTGATGACTCGGCGATGTGAAATGGCAGTTTTGCTTCCAATTCTTGTTTTGTTTAAGCCTTTAATTAAAAAAAAACGTATTTCTTTATAAGTAAGAAAATTTTTACACCAATATTCCTAAACTTCTTTTTCAGTGCTACGGTTGTGCCATCCATTTAAATTCGAGGTCAGCGTCTCGAACCCCGCCACTGCCAACATCATTAAACAAACCGTTTAGATTGGTGGCACCATCTTCTGCCGTGCTTTCAAAGCTTGAAAGCCAATGGCTAGTTTTCTGCGATACGGCTTCAATAACTTATAGATGCTTATAGTGAAAGAAAATTTGGAGGAAACATATGCTTTATTTTTTCAAAACTTGATTTCCAGAGTTTGGTATGTGGTGATTTACCTTCATGCCGTTTCAAGTTTTGTTTTTTTGCAACGAATTCACTGGTTGCAGTGCTACATCATGTTTTGATGCCTATCTTCAACTGCTTTGGAAATATCAGCGTAATATCGCTAATGGAAAATTCACATTCTAGTAAATCTTGCAAATTGATTTTGCTTTTCAAGTTTCTATATTTCCTCCACATGCACCATTACCTTTGCTGCACATTCGCCAGTTATCAGGAATGATATTTATCCCGTTTATTCAATTAAAGATAAAAAAATCCGGAATTAAAATAGCATTTTAGCTTTCTAGTAAAAAGAACACTTCTTTAGAGCAACCCTCAGTGGAGAGATAAGAAAATTAGCATTTTATATGCAGATTAAAATGTGTATAGAAGTTATAAGTCAAATCTGGTTTGTTGGTATGGTCATAAGCGAAATTTCATTCGTATCTGAATAAGACTTCACATATTAATTGCCTGAACATGTATTTTTCTATTCTAATGATTGACGAGAAACAAGAAAATTTTTCAAATACTATTTTTTCTTAAGTAGGTCGTTTCTTATTTCTGCCTCTTTTATGGGCAAATCATCAATATTATGGAGCAAAATGAGGCTCACCACAGAGCTACGCATGACCTAGAGCTACATTGATATTATGAATAACATATGTTATACAGTGTGTCCACTTAAGTTCACAACATATGGGAAACTTTTTTATTATCCATTTTACGAAAAAAAGTTATTCTTTATAAAAGTTTCTGCTTCTTGGAAAAATACTATTAAACTATAAAAAACTTGCAATAGCATGTACAGGGTGGTCAGAAATTAGAAAAATATACAGGTTTTTTTGGAAAAAGTAGAAAAAAAATGGCATGTCACTATTTTTTTCAGATTAAGCAAGTCATATTACAGTCAAAGGATACCTTTCGTTACCACAAACAAACTTGCCAAATTTGAAAAAAAAATTGGAAAAGGGATTTTTGAGTTAAAAAAATGATTTTTGCTAAAACTTTGACACTGTGTATCTCAGAAACTACGCATTTCCGGACACATGTTTATGGGAATCCTGAAGTTACGAACTGCACTTCGGAAACACCCTGTATATTTTTCTATTTTTTGACCATCCTGTACATGCTATTTCAAGTTTCAATAGTTTAATAGTATTTTTTCAAGAAGGAAAAACTTTTATAAAGAATAACTTTTTTTCGTAAAATTGATAATAAAAAAGATTCCCATATGCTGCGAACTTAGGTGGAGTCCCTGTATGTTATAAATTATAATATAATAATACTCCTGGTTGATGTATAAAATTATATCTTCACTATTTAGGTATGTTCAACCCATTTATTGAAAAACTGAAAAATAATACAATAGAAAGTAGGTAAATTCTAAAATTTTCTACCTAAGCATTGGGAAAATAAACATAATTCTTACTTATAGCTTATATAGTAAAAGTAAAAAAACAAGATTATTTGAAAATTTCAAAACACAGAAATCATTTTAAACTTACTTTTAAATTCAAATAAGGGCGCGATAATTCATGTATTTATATATACATATTGGGCCTATTCGGGTTTGGAAAAAGGACGGTTCTAGAACGGTTCAAAACAATCGCACAGTTTATTATTGAAATTTGTGATAGTAGCCGAGTTGTTATCATTTTGTTGAATGATAAACTGTCTGATTGTTTTGAATCGTTCTAGAACCGTCCTCTTTCCAAACCCAAATAGGCCTATTGTATATTTTTTTTTTGATTCTTTTCTAAAAAAAATTATATAGTAGGTACTAACTTCACTTGATAACTGTGTATTGTTGCTTACATATCATCATTTACAACCAAAGTGGCAGAACCTTTCAAAAAAAAACTTTAAGGCAGATGCCTTGAGTATTCGAGTACAATAACATCAATTTTTTCTTTGAAATTTTTGGCTGCAATAATGAACCCTGATTCTATTCTAAAATTCACAAAAAAAGATTTTCATTCAAAAAGCCACCACCGAGTCAACTTAATTTTACCAAATAAAACCACACTTTTGTGTTAATGTCAGTAGAAGCCACTTATAAAAAATTAGGCACAGTAGGTATTTGGCAATATTAACAGAAGAAGTGCCTATGACATTTTGTATCAAAAATATTTTCGAACAATCTTGGAAAACTAAATTAAAGAAACCAAATTTTTGTCCATAAAGTCTTAACAATTAAGTAGGGTAAGGAAAACTGAAAGAAAAAAAAAACAGTGAATTTCACAACAGTCAATACGTATTTTTCTGTCATGATAAACACTTTACATAACAAGATTTACAGATTTTGAGATTTAAACAATGTTGAAATCAGTATGACCAGCGGCCTGTCTTAGTAATATGTAAATTTTTTCTTTTATCCAATCCTTATTGTAGGGGGCGTAGGTGTTGGTTGACTTCTGGTACACAAGACAGCTCAAGTCAGAGAGCTAGAGGAAAATCATATTTTACAGTAACTATCTAGATTAGGTAATATCAAAAAATCTAAATTTCCTTGATCTTTCTATGTCATATATTCAATCTACCTACCTACTTACTATACTGCGAAATTTCAACAAATGTAGCTAAAGGTCTTACCTGATCAACAAAATCAAATAACTGAGAAATATCATAAGTGATGGTTGGCGTGTTGGGATTTCGCCTTTTCAAGTGCTCCTCGTAGATCCTGCACACCCCCTCCATGCAGTCATTAACAGATTCATAGTCTGAATATGTTCTGGTTTCTGGGTTGCTTCCAGGTTGGACCAAAAGGATTGTGTGTGCCTGAAGTGAGGGAAAGGAAAATTGAAATTGATATCAATGTTATCAAACAAAGTGAAGATCCTCATTCAAAAAAAATTATTGTATGTACATATTTAAAAATTGCAGAAACAACCAAAATGAGAAGAAATCCTTATCAATAATTCATTCTTGTGCTTATTCAATATAAAGGCAACAACAATAGAGATAGATACTGCATAGAAACTAGAGCTAAGCAAATAGAATAGTTGTAAATTTAAAAATACATTTCAAAATGTGTTCATAGACTTTCAAAAGACTACCAAATCATGAAATATTCCAACTATGGAACAAAATTGCAGATTTTTTTTTCAATCCTAGAATTTATCAGACACTTTTCATACTTAGGATCAATCTGAAATCTGAGTCTTGAAAATCTATTCCCACTGAATTATTCTACCAAAAGCAGCTGAGGTAAGTGTATAGAGAATTTGAGTCGAAGTTTTGACTAATGGATTTATAAACTTATCTACTTCTTTGACATTGTAGTCAAAGACATAAAGAAATATAATAGTAGTAAACTACGAGAGACGTTTGTTTAATGTAACAATCTGGAAGTGTGTTTGTGCACATACCAGTAGCATATTTCGCATGGTGTGGCAGATTATTGAACTAATTACTTGGATCGTTTCTGACAACTCGGTTTAATTTGTCTTTGTCAGCAACTTGCCCAAAAATGTTCTATTTTTTTGAACACATAGAAAATACAAAGTTGTCAATATTTGACAAATTATTGAATCGTCTATGATTGAATCCAAAGACCATCAATCAAAAACTGAATACTCATCATCATAACTTAAAATTTCTTCTATTATTTATATTAGAGAACTGATAAAATATTCTGTGATCATAAATATTAATTAATTAGACAAAACCAACACCAATAATACAGGGTGTCCTTAGATAAACTGACACATTTTAGAGGTTAATATCTCGAAAACGAGAAAAGATAACGGGATGCGGTTTTTTCTGGAAGAATGAAGATTTTTTAAAGTTTTTTTTCATGATATTGACGAATCCTGAAATTTGGTTTTACAGACATTCGATTTTTTGAAATAATAACATACTGCCTTATTCTTGATGAAACACCCAGTATATTTTGTCATCATCAGAAAGCGTGACTTTTCTACTCCATAAAAATGTTTAATTTTTTTCAATTATCATGAAATTGAATGGTTAAAATTGCACTTGGTTGAAGGACGTACCGTCGACTGGACAAAAAAAAAATTATAAGAATTAATTTGTGTTTTAAATGCACTTATTTTTGTTCAATTCTTGTATTATTAGTTAACTATGCCCTAATTAGTTATTAAAAGTATTAAACACAAATTGAATCTCAATTTTTTTTTTTAGTTAGTCGATGGTATTCCTTTCGACAACGTGCAATTTTCACGATGCAAGTTCAAGATAATTGAAAAAAATTATACATTTTTGTAAAGTAGAAAAATCAGGCTTTCTGACAATGACAAAAGATACGGGGTGTTTCATTAAAAATAAGGCAGTTATTTTATTTCAAAAAAACGCATGTCTGTAAAACCAAATTCCAGCAAATTTCAGGATTCGGCAATAATGTGGAAAAAAACTTTGAAAAATTCCTATTCTCACAGAACAAACCGCATCTCGTTATCTTTTCCCGTTTTCGAGATATTTACCTACAAAATGTGTCAGTTTATCTAAGGACACCCTGTAGTGTGTTTTCGAATTTGCGATGATGTGATATGCAGTTAAAAGGTAAATACAAAGCTTATAATACAAACATTTTTAGTTACTGTATATTTATAAAATTGGAATAAAAAAATAAGTTTGTTTGAAGATATCTCAATTTTTGTATTGTTCAATTACCTACTTGACCCCCGTAAGAAATCTCATTGCATCTAATTTGGATTTTTTAAAAATAAGTTCTGTTATCGTTCTAAACAGTTGCTCGGTAAATTTTAGCAAGTTTTTTCAACAAATGTATTGCTCTGCAATTAACTGTTTTGAGCGTTTACAGTACTTTATTTTTAATAAATCTTAAATAAAATCAGTTAATAATTTAATTATTCAAAAAAGCCGCCTTTTCACTGTCGGTAAAAAAGAAACCTGCATTTAAACAATGTTCACTCTTTTATTGCTGTCCGTAGCCACCAGAGGCGCTAACGTCGACATTGTGCCAGTTAAGTACAGGGGAATGACTTCTCTCGTAGTTATTTGTCTATGGTCAAAGAAGTTTTTTTGAAGAAAACGTGTCTGACAGTTGTTTTCCGGCTTGCTTGATGTCCCATTTCAATTTTGAAGAAGTGCCACAAATAACTATCTATCGCACTATCGCGTCAATTAAATTTTTTCTGGGCTTGTGAAGCGAGATCTATCAAAGATTCTGTGAAATGTATCTTTCCAAGCCCTGATTCTTTGAAATTTTGTGTAAAATGATCTCCTTCTCTTTCTGATATAAAGAATAACAATTTTCTTCCAAATTACATTAGAACCCTGATTACCCGAGCTCTGGATCAACTGTGCCATTCTAAAGATCCAAAGACCATGATTATCCAAGCTACATGTCTTGTGTGTGTGTGGGTGGGTCGCTTACATATCTTTGAGCATGTAAATTTGCGGAAATCCAGATTATCCGAGGACATTACCTGGGATAACCGGGGTTGTACTGTATTGGTTTTGTAGTAGACTATTTTCCATCTTCAATAGCAGTTGTTTGCCTACTACAGGTTGAAATGCATTTGCTGGTACATTGCTTTTTTGATACTGGTACATGTGACTACTTCAATGTTTTTCTAACATAACCCTAGACGGGTCCAGAGGCCTGGAACTATGTAAGGGCTGGAGATCGTTATCCCTATCGCTATGGCACTTACTGTCTTCTTCGCTCTTGTCGAAATCAATAGAGAGGAGACGTCAATAGAGATAGAGAAACTATCACTATTCATTACAGAGTCCCAGCCCACAGGCTACACAGTTTTTGAAGATTTTTCACTATCCATTTTGTAGAGTGAGTGGTAAATGCTATTTTACTATACTCTAAACTTACCATTTTCTAACTTGGAACTAGTCTGAAAGTAATAATAAAAATCTAGAAAAAGTTACAGCAATTTTTATTTTTTATTTATTAAGTACACTTCTCTATTGGCTGGCAAAATGCATTTTATTTTTAATTTCTGCTGAGCGGACTGGACTGAACCGAATGGCTCCGATAGCGATTAGCGAATTTTCTTGGAAGGATTGGTGCGCACAGAGTATTCGTGTCTTTTTCTACCAGCTTGTGAGAGAAAGAAATAAAAAACCTCTTTTTTCTGCACACCAATAGAATTCGCAATGGGCGCGTTCTTTTATTCAGCAATGCATCCATCTGCTGCCATCATAATAAGACAGACATTCCTATTTTCTATGAGCTAGACAAAGAAAGGCTGATTACTGATGGATCCACCGCTGAATAAAAGAAAGCGCCCAATGACTCTGACTACTCTGACATTTGACATTTGCGTTGATAGTTGTATTCCTTTCACACCTTTCCCAACCCCTTGTTACTTTTAAAGCCTAGTCTCCATGGACGCGAAATCGCGAATTTTTTTTTTTGCGGATATTTTCCGATTGGTTGGAATTTGACATTTAACATTTGATTTTTTTATGGCGGGAAAAATTCGCGAATTTTTTAACTTCTTGCGGCGTCGCAAAAAAGTTAACTATTTTTTAACTTTCCGCGAAATTTCGCCAAAAAAAAATGAGGTTATGTGGTGTTACTTTCAGTTTAGTTTTGTCAAGTTTTGTTATGTTTTTGTCGGTATGTGCTCTGTCCTCTGTGAGTCGTTGATGTGTTTTGTACTTGTAGATACCTAATAAAGAATGGATACTGCCAAAGAATTGAATATTGTAGACCCGAAAACAGACATAAATTACAGCTTGCTGGTTGATGAGGAAGATTATAATAGGGCCTTAAATGTAATTAAGACAACACCAAGACACATATCTTTTTTTGTTTTTTAGTAAACACTTTCATGGTTTTCAAAGATTAGTGTTTGAAATTCAAAGCATTTAAATCAAATTCAAATTGATTTTTACAAACATCAACACATAACCTTAACCTGTTAAATAAAACGCGAATTTCGCGCTTATGGAGACATGGGAATAATTTGCTCGGAAATAGCCACCAAAAAATGACACTTAAAAAATTCGCTTTCCGCGATTTCGCGTCTATGGAGACTAGGCTTAAATATGAATATATGGGACTTAAGCCTAGTACTCATAACTGCGGAATTCGGATTTTTTTGACATTGCTTCGACAATTTGACGTTTGATACACGCATAAAACGTCAAATTTTCAACGCAATGTCAAAAAAATGCGAATTTCGCAGTTATGAGTACTAGGCTTTAGGCGAACATCCATAATAAATCATGGAACACAATACGTATTTGATGGACCTAATAATGGTCATCAAATACGTCGATTTCAATTTTTTATGATAGATGTCCATTTAAATCCTATATATTAATATTTAAAAGTAACAGGAGGTTGGGAACAAGATGGTGGCGGGACCTCTATTGTCGCCACTGTATGTAAAGGTTTATTAAGGGCGCGTTTGGGTTCACGCTCGGTGCACTCAGAGCTTGCACTTTTGTCTCTCTTCCGTTATTTTTGAAGCCCCGACGACGCTTGATTGTGTTTGGTTTGACATATTTTGAGCGCTCAGAGCGAGCTCGATAAACTCCGAGTTTGTGGAGTGGGCAGCTGGAGCGTGCATGCGCAGATCAGAGGCGTTTTCTCGCGGGGCGAATGGTTCGAACTACGGTTTAAACCAATTTGTAGATGACGTCATCACTTGTGAACGCGAGAAAATGGAAGGTTTGAACCACAGTCTTTTGTCAACGGAGAACAAGCCATGAGTCCGGTTCGAACTTTTTTGAACCAGGTTCAATGTGACGTCACTGGTTCAACGCAAGAATGTAGAGGTTCGAACCTAATTGAACCGGGTCGAACCAGTTCCACCGCAACAGCTCAGATGTGTTTAATCTGTCTTAAATTCTGCATAATTGTTCACTTTTAATTAATTTTTTTTCGATAGTCCTCATCACTGGTATCAGTGAGCATATTTTTCCAAGGGAACTTGGCAGCCTCAGAGTGTTTAGGTCCGTTTTATTGTTAATGTAGCATGTAGCACGACATTTTCTGCAATATACAAACGAAAATTGGGCAGTTTGAAAATTATCAACCAAAATTCAAAACAAACGAGAAAACTCTAGTGCAAAATGCAAATGCGTAATGCGGGCTCGGAATCCAAAAAAGATATGCTAAGAAAAATAAACAATAATCAGCTGATCGCTCAACCCAGCATTTATGCACAAGTTTATTTGGATTGACACGGTGTACTCCCTATGACGTCACGTTACTCCATAATAGCTCTGCTTGCTCCGCCGAGCGTCAACCCAAACACGCCCTAAGCCACTGTACTTTCAAGTTTGTTGCACGTGCTCAAGCCCGAACTTAACCATTTGAAAGCACGAAAGCCAGCGCATCTGTTCCTTTCAAATCCGGGTCGACTAACACCGGAGCGAGTAGCTCTAATGTTCTAAACACTTGAAAGGGATACAACTAATTGAACAAAGGTGCTATAAAGAACCAAGGATAGCAAACTCCATCAGCCGAACTGGTACCAACTACAGTGGCTGTGCCAACGCCAACTGCAAGACCAGACGAGTGCAATATTTATTTGCTAAACTTCGGCCCATTTTGCACAAGGATAATACACACTACTAAGGATTGCTTATCGGCCTCGTTTTTGGTAATCGATGCCTATTGGTGTGTCACCATTTCCGACGTCATAATAGTCAGCTGTTTGCGCTAGCGGTCGTAGTTTATAATTTAAATTTATGATGAAAACTATTATTTAATTTTGATTAACATAGGCTAAGTTCGGCGTTGCATTCCACGTAGCGGAACGGTATGAGCATGGATATCGTGACGTCATACGCGTCCGGATAAGTTGTTCACGAATCGGGATGCTTCAACCCGGTAAAATTACACCAGCGCTCACAATCGTGAATCAGCTATTTGCTCGACCTGCGCGATCAATGACATCATAGTTTCATGGTGTTTTTTTTTTTAATTCTGAGACCATCACAGCGTTTGTAAAAAAGGTAGCTGGATCCATGATCAAAAATACAAATCCAATTCACAAAGAAAATGAAGAAATAAACGACGAATGTACAGTCGTGAGTATTAAAAGTTGGAGACCCATCAACTGTCAGGTCTTGTCATTTTTCGTTATTTTGGGTAAATGGTAAATCATTCTTTTGTACAACGGATTTTTTGTCAAATATGACAATCCCTGTCATTGCCGACGGTGTAGCCGGTGAGCCCGTTTCACAATAGGATAAAATAAGTTTCCCATTTTTGATGCTCACAACCTTCGAGCAGGTAAAGGTAAAGAGGAGTAGTAACCTGGATTTGGAAAATGAAGCCGTTTTTTTCCAGGTATTTTGGCAGCAAGAAAATGGCGCTTATGGCAATTCAATGCTTTACCTGTATCTTGGTGCCAAACACCTGCCAAAAACTTGGCTTCACTTTAGTTTCATAAGCAGAATGGCGCGTTCCTACTCCTTATGTCCGTAGTACAGCGCTTTCCTGCTCTAAGCTCACAACTGTAAAAAAAGTCAAGTTATGGGTAGTTGCACCAACAATTTCTGATCTTGGTTTAACATTAATCTTGGTTTAAATCAAAGAAATCCATTGCACCGTTTCTTGAACAAAGTTTAATTTGATTTGAACTTGGTTCAACTTAAACGGTCATGTTTGATGGTTTAAAGGGAAGTTTTACTAATTGAATGCGTAGAAAGGAAATTCGCAAAGTGAAATGACATGCCGTCTGTTGTTTTTTACGGCATATGTTCATGTTGTGAGAATTTCATTATTTATTATTATGTAGGTAGATATTTGATTTTTAAATTCAATAATCAATCTCGATCGAAATATCTGTGCAAAATAGAATATACGGCAATGAAAAACAAGACACTTGGAAGGAAATAATACATTAGTGTCATATTTAAACCAATCATAACATAAAAACATGTTGCATTTACTTTTGTTCAGCTTTGACGTTGACAGAAACTATATAAGTTTTTCGGAAGAGACTTTTTGTTGTTAAGCCTGACTCGCACTAGGCAAATTTAAAAAATATATATGCCTGTACCAGTTTTATATTTGGCCAAGTGTACGTAATGCAAAATCAAAACATAAAACATAAGATAACAAATGTCATAATTCACCTTGTTTGTGGCGTTTTTTATACCAGTTAGGTCACTCCAACTACCCGAGTAAAATTTACAGAATATAACCAGGGTTGTCGAATCGTGGAGCTGTGGAGCATGTAAGCTGTTCATTTGTACTTGCTCTACCTGCTCGAAAAATAGAAAGATCTGCTAGGAGCTGCTATTTATGAACTTATAATGGGACAAGTGAACGCCAATCTGCTTGAAGCAAGAAAAGCAGTATAAGTGAACACCCTATTCGACGCCTCACTCAGCGGTGGGGATAAACGACCCCGGAGCTTGACGCCCCGATTATAAAGAAAAGTTGTTTACATTTCAAAATCGTATTCCAGAGCGCCCTGAGGCGCCCAAGCCCCTGAAAAGACAGCAGCTCTGGTGCAAGTTTTGGATCACTTTGGGAAACTGGTGCGACAGTTTTTGCCCCGAGTGCAATCAGTTCTCCACTGCTCTGGAGCAACATTGACAACAGTCGAATTTGCACTCCAGAGATTGTACCAGAGCATCTTTTAAATTGTCCTGGCTGAGTGTGAGTACCACCCCAGTGCGGCACTTTTTTCACCAATAGAAATTGCTATTGAAAATGATTAAAAACTGTCAATTGTCGTCCAATAATTTTTAAGGTTATATTTTTTAATTTTTTTATGAAAGAAGAAAAAAAAAACATTACACAAATCACACACCAAAAATTTAATTATTTCCATTTTTGTGTTAAATTGTCAAATCATCATCATTGTTGCAGGACAAATATCCATTAAGGATTATTTAATAATATGTATTCACTGCTCGTGCTGTCGATAAACACTTATACTGTGGTTTTTTAATGCAAATGGTTTGAGCCAAGTTGCAAATATGTTCTCCGAAGAGCACAATCGATATGTTTTGTTGCAAAGGGATATCAGGTAAATATTCTCATTTATATTGCTTAACCTAGCTGACGATTTACTCAAGAATCTATTTTTCCTGGTTATGGAAAGATATAAAAAATAGTTACTTGAAAAAATATTGTTTGAGGATAAACACCAAGATAAGATAAGGTTTTATCATCAACATATAATATATTAGTTACTGTGGAGTCCACGTTTCTTGTGCTCACAATTGATCGTGAACTGAGATTATGAGATTTAGAACCTCACTCGGAACCTTATTTTTTCTTCAGCAAAAAAAATATTTTCAGGCTGCTCTGCTGTGAAGCTGTCTACTCGGGAACTGGGTGCCGAGGTTGGGAAGTCAGTTTATTTTGCTCTCATTGAATCTAGACTTCGCTACGGTATAGCTTTATGAGGTGCCGCAAATAAACAACTGTGCAACTCTTTGCTTGTGATTTAGAAACCTGCCATGGGATATATTTACAGGGTAACACCAAGAACATCTCGCAAACCCCTCTTTGTTGAAAATGAAATTCTAGAGCTCACTTCTTTGTATGTCTTGGAGACTGCTTGAGAAAAGGAGAAAATTTGCCAATCAATGTGCTGCACAAATGCATATTAAACGAGATATTACATTTTCCTTAACATTTTCCAGTTTTAATTTATCCAAATGCATGGCAAGAATTAAATATTCATTCTATACAAGTAATAGACACTCGATAAATGTAAAGCAAGAAAACAATATGAACAAAATCTGTTGAACAACACCAAACAGTTCTTTTTCTATGTTAACTCTAATCTTAACTCTAAACACACTAACTCCAGTATTGTTGACAAAGCAACTCTAGTCGCATTTGAAACTGACCAGGAGGTTGCACAGTGTTTTGCTGCAGCAATTCCACTATAAAACTCAGCCATACAGATATAAGACCTTGTATTAGACCAACACTTCTAGTTGAATACTACTCCAGAACAGAAATCAACCCCATAAATTTCACCCCAGAAAAGATAGAGATTGTTATTAAGTCCTTAATTGAATTCCTAGGGACTTGATGAGATCCCTCCTATATTTTTTAAACACTCTAAAAGGGCCTCTGGCAGCGGCAGCACAGGAATGATATATTATCCACAAGAGATTTTCCACAACCTTGGAAAAAAGCAGTTGTTATACATACCTATATTCAAAAAGGGTAACAAAAAGCTAGTAGAAAACTACAGACAAGTTACTAAGAAGAGATTTCTTGATAAACAGAGTGGTTTATCAGTGGAATAGACTTTACTCATGAAACAATTAATAATAAAAAACCTTCCAAAGGAGGTGACACAATACAATACCTACAAGATGTTATCAATTGATGTTTTCTTACAGAAATCCCTGGCTTTGTGACAAAAAAACAGTAGCTTTGCTAGGATGCCTAATGCTACCAGTTACCTTTTTCTGTGCCACTTACGTCATACTTTTTGGTATCTGTGATGAACTGGGTTATCCTAGGCCACAATTTGATGGATTCAATGCAATTGGTAAGTCTATTACCAATCCATAAGTATTGTCATGTATGTAAGTTCTCAGATAAGTGATGTGAGACTACTGATTGGGACTTAAATAAACTTTATTTTTGAAACAAGATTACGATTATAACAGCTAAATTGTAACACTAAATCTACAACCCAAAGAAGGGTAATGATGTATACTTGCTTATAATATATATTTATTTGTATTTCAAACTACAATACTTATTGAAACTTTTTTTTAATGTAGAAATCTTGGAAAGGAACCAACTGAGAGCCGAATTGTACAGCAATACTCATGCTCATGGAAATTACTCGGAAATTCCCGAGGAAATTCCAAAAGATATACATATCCACCATGCAGATTATACCCCAGAAAAATTAAAACTAATCTGCTATTATAATTTTCCAAGCAACGATTTTTCTCTGAAAATCAATGAAATCGACCCTAATTTATGCACTCACTTGAATTTAGCTTTTGCCAGTGTGGTAAACCACAGTATTTATCTGGATGAAGAACATTTGGGTAACCAATTTAGAGTATATAATACCTAACTTGTAATTATTAAATAACTTTTTTAAATTCAGGTTATTTGACAAATATAATTCCATTGAAAGAAAAAAATCAATATCTAAAAATTTTATTATCAATTGGGGGTGCTGGAAATAATAATGGATATCCGGAAATGGTTAAAAATCATACCAATAGAAAAACGTACGTACAAAGATTATTAGTAATATTATACTGTGTAACTCATGTCTATTTTTAGATTCATACAATCAGTATTAAATTATGTGAAAGATTACAAAATTGATGGTGTAGACTTGGATTGGGAATTCCCAGGTGAAAATTCTGCTGATCATTATCAAAAAATGCATTTCACCCAACTTTTATCAGAAATTCGAAAAACTATTAATAAACAGCCAAAGTACAAATTCCTGCTAACAGTTGCGGTGGCTGCTCCTAATGAAATAATTGATGTAGCCTACGATGTTTCCTACATGAATGAGTAAATTGATCCTAATAATGCAATATTTATGTATTCATTAATAATTTTTTTTAGGTATGTTGATTTTATCAATTTGATGTCTTACGACTATCACTATTACACAAAAATTACCCCATTTACTGGCATAAACTCGCCCCTATATCAGGCATCAAATGAAAAATTTTACTTGTCAACACTGAATATAAACTATTCTAGTCATTATTGGAACTATTTGGGTATGGACAAGAGCAAAATTGTGGTTGGACTGCCAACCTATGGCCATACATTCAAGTAAGAGCGATTTTAATTTTTGTTAAAACAAACCTAATTGTTCAAAATTTAGATTAACAAATTCCGAAAATCACGGATTGTATGCCCCAGCCTTGGGTTTTGGCCACCTGGGCAGTCTGGGTTTTGCCTCCTACTCAACGATTTGTACATTCCTTCAAGGAAATCACATTTCTCCAATATTTGACATGGACACTTTCAGCCCCTATGCTGTAAAGTACTATGAATGGATCTCATTTGATGATCAACAAAGCCTCACGTATAAAGCCGAATATATCAAAAGTAATAATTTTGGAGGTGCCATGGTTTATAGCCTAAATGCAGATGATTATAAAGGGGATTGTGACATGGGAACGTCGAGTGGCATTAAGTTTCCACTCATTACGGCCATTAAAAATGTGTTTGATGGTTAATTGATTTTTCAATCATTTTGATTGAAAATTATATACAGGGTGTTTTAGAATAAGGCTATGTGTGTTAAACTTGAACATGCTGTAAATCTATAAAGTGATTGTGATCCGTTTTAAATTTATATGGTCTGATTTATGCTAGATTTAGATCGATATAAGTAATGTCTGAAAAGTATTGCTAAACAAATAAAGATAACGATAGCTCTTATGATAATAATATTTAAGCAGTCTTCAAAAAATTTAGTGAATATATTTAAACTGGAAGATTATTTAAATATGGTACGTATAGTGTGTTGGGAATGTTTTTCTCGTTTTCAAAAAGTACTTATGACTGGACAAGCATTCTCAGAAAAGTTTTATTGTAACTACCGATTGTAATTTCTGACAGTGAGGTCACAGAATTGGCCAGTGGAGGACTGTCCCTTAATATATGCTTTTGATTGCTTTTCTATCAAGAAATTTCTTCATCGTTCTAGAAAGAAGTAAATAAGTACTGGTTCTACTTTTTAAATTATCCAAAGAGAAAATAGGAAAACATTCCCATCTTACCTAAATGTTAAAAAAAACTAATATTTTTGTAGATGAAAACTAAATTCACTACTTGTGCGTAGGTGTGTATGTATTATCAAATAATAATCACCTAAATAATAAAACAGTTACCAATTCTAGTTAAGTATTTTTCATATTCGAGGCCTAACAAAATTTTGTTGAAAAAAAAAAATAAGACTTATTTTTCAGTCTGTACTTTATAACGACACTGTGATATAAATTCTTATTATAGAATAGGATTGACACAATTAGTGAATTAGGTATTTAGGTGTGGTGTATAGATAAACTGTTATATTTGAAATTTAATTCTTATTGTTCCAAAAAAAAGTATTTGAACCGTTGATGTGGTATGTACCTACTTACTGTAATAAAATATTTAACGCATTAATTTCCAATAATCTTAAGTTTCAAAATATGTATTTACTGGATTTTATTAAAAATAAAATGGAATTTCGGAAAAAGTAGCAAGGAGAATACAATCTACAATGGCCTTATTTTCAAATGTGATTGAAACCCCAAAAAAGATTTTCTTTTTCCTCCTTATAAGCTCTCAGAAATGGGTGCCAAACAATATATACCAAGTGGATAAATAACAATTTCAATGCATTTTATATGAAGGTGGTGCAATTAAGGAGATGGGACACAGTTTCTAAGTCTCTTAACAGAGTTTTGAATACTACAAGTTTGACCTTGTGATTAAAAAAAAACAATGTGGTTTTTAAAAAATCAAAATTTTAATAAAATAATTAATATTTATTCAATAATCTCTCTAAAGACTCGTTAAAATAATTCCTAACCGCCTTTCCATCCTTTTCTTTTTTATCGGCCTCTTTTTTACACAATATGTCCTCTAAATCGTACTCTTCAGTATCACTACTACCACTATCAAAGTTTTTAAATGTTTCATTAAAAGTCTTTTCAAAAAGATCTCCGGCATCTCCAGGATTCTTTGTAAAGAAACTCAAATGGTCCTGATCTTCACCTTCTTTGTCAGAAGAATCCTGGGATATTTTATCATACACAAAGTTGGATTTTTTAGAAACAATATTGTCAATGATATCTGATACATCTTCACCTCCATCCCTGTTTGTAAAAAAACTTGAATGATCCTGCTCTCTTGGATCCGAAGTAGCTAGGGACATAACTTCAGCTACTTTGTTTAAATTGTGCCTTCTGGAAATAATATCTTCAATGATATCAGATACGTCTAAATCACTTTCGTCTCCAAATGATGACAAATCGGGATCAAAAGCTAAGTTACTACTACTGCTACTAGGTTTTACAGGGGTTGAACAAGTATTTTCTCTAACGGTTTTCTGATAACAAGAATTTTTTAGCGCCTTTTTCAAATAACTAGGATTTTTAGCCTTTTTTGAATCTTCAATTGTCAATAGTTGTAGGCTAGAATTAAGAGATTCCATATGAGCAGCGGTATGTTTTTTGACTACTTTCGGCTTCTTAGATTTTTTGATTTTTGGCTCTGTTATAGATACATTTTCTAATTTATCAGCCAGTTCATCGACAGTCTTTTTCTTGCGCTTGCTAACTTTTTTCGGCTTAATTTTCGATTGTTTATAGGTCTCAACCAAATCTGGATAAGCTTCTTCCACCAAAGGTTGCGGCTCAATGGTAGACCAAATTTTTTCCATGTCGATATTGCTTTCCGAAAGTTGGTTTTCAGGTATTAAACCCTTAAAACATTCGTCGGGGTCTGACCAAATGATTTCGTAACTTGGAACACCTTTTGGATTTCGAACTTTTTTAATTCTTTGAGGTTTCAAGATTCCTTTGAGTTTGCTCTTGTTCTTGAGCAACTGAGGGTTGCGACATTGCCATCTGGTTAATGTAGGTAGTATTTTTTCAAATGAGTATAACTCTTCCCAATCTAGAAACTTTGATGTGAATTTCTGTAAAAGATGCAAAAACGTCTAAATTAAAAAAAAAAGAAACAGGTTTTAGTCAACTTACGATAAACCTAACAATATCTGGTTGTTTCCATTTTAAATCTAAATTCTTCACATTATCTTTTTTATGTTTGAACTCCTTTATTAGCTCTTCATCAGGAAAATTAGGATTTATCATTGCTTTATTCCTCATATTAACTTCATTTTTTATGTTTAAGCGTTCATTTTTATATTTGAAAGGATCACATCCTTTTGTTGTCTTACAAGAACTGCATCCTAAAATTGTGTAGTATGTATAAAGGCCTTTTTAATTTCTGAGCTATTTGAACTATTTACCATTTCTAGTATGATACTGTATTTTGCCATTATGCCCGCAAGATGTACATATATTTTTATCATTTAGTTGCTTTTCATAATTTTCAAACATATTTATGTTTTCCCTCCAAGACCTAAAAAATAAAAATCATACAACATTCTAAAAGTATAAGGTCGTCACATACCTCAATCTGTCCAACACTTCATCATTTGAAACAGTTTCGAATAATTTTAAAACTGATTCTTTTCCTATCCCGTGTACTCCTTCTGAATAATCGCAGCCCAGCAGTAAAGCCATAGCGATAATTTTATTTCTCCCAAAACCTAAATAATGAAATTATATGTTTTGATATGGACGGAGTTTCATGACCCACAACAACATTTTATTTCTTCACAACTGCTCAGAAAATAGTCAGGCACCACTATAATTGATTAAGCATTTCAGATAGTGGGCAGAACATGAAAACGGAGTTTTACCTAGAAAAATTGATGAAATAAAATACCAGAAAATCGAGCAGAAAATACATTAAGTGCTAGTACTTTTGCTCTTATTTGACAGCCGTTAAAAATAATCAGGAATTTGAATGTGCTCCAACCACATCATACTTATATAGACCTTGGCCCATGCAAAACTTTGACGACATATCAAATTCGTTAATCGAGGGCAAAAGTATCGGCCCTTAGTATACATGTAACATGTGTATCATGAGTCTGAAGTGTAAAGATTTAAACTTTTAATACCCCTAATTTTTCTGATTTGTTTTTGACAAAATGAGCTTGGATTCTACTATTTTTCAAGCAGTTGTAAAAAAAATATGATTTACTCACTTAAGTTTTGATTGGCTTTTCTGATATCATAAACATCAACGGACCCACCACTAGAGGCTTGTGTGCCTTGAGTGGAAATGGAAAAATTTCTATAAACAACTTGAGCGCCATAAGCAAAGCAATCTGAATCTTGACTGATACAACCATCCACAAGCTGAAATTGAACATTTGATTTTAAATTATACTTGGCTATTTTTTTCATGATTTTTTTTACCCCATCTTCATTGAGATACGCACACAGACTTTCAGCTTCTCCGTTACCCGTTATACAAGCCAGACCCATATAGCGAAGCATTTCTTCACATTGTTTTAATACAAAATGAAATCTTAAAATGTAGCTTTAAAAAAAAAATACATGTAAAATTTTTGTAGTTTATTACCTTGTTCTGCCTTTCCCAGTTTTAACGCCATCAGTTTTTGGTCGGGCACCTTTAAATTGTATAGCATTACGAGCTAATATTGTATCATATTTTAGTTCTGGGGCTGCGCCTTCTAATACAAACACAGGGTTAACGTCCATTAAGAGAAGGTAACAAGTTCGAAAGTATAAGTTTCTGAAATATAGAAACATTTATTATAATTTTTTTTTTTTGGTATCAGGAATTTGAAAAATATATGAACTAAGGCTTCTATGCCTATTTGATCATTATACTTATGTTTCAATATGAATTTCTTTATCTTCAAAGGCTCTGTCAGTATTTTCTACACTTATCAGAAAACTTTTCAGCAAATTATTGTTTCAAAGGATTTGTGTTCTCTCTTGAAGCTTTTTTAAAAAGAAATAGAACTGAATTCACAGCTATTCTTCTAGTAATTATTATTAAACTAGGGCGTTATAGGGTCCTCTTCATCAAAAGTTCTGATTCAGGGCTGCATAGTGTTTTTTGTTTCAATGGGTTTTTTCACTAAAATTTAAATATGTAATTTAAGTATAAAAACCCAAAGGAGGGACTATTTTAGGCATATATATGAAAAAAAAAAGTTCTACAAGGTTAAATACCCGGTTAAATAAGTTTTATACAGGCACTTGAAATTGGCCAAATTCAAAATGATTTAGAACGCTCTTGATCACGTCACATAAATATTTTCCATTTGGCTAATGTTGTTGCAAGGAGCTGACCGGCTCGGCTGTGTTGCGCTCTGTAAAAGTACGTTAAGATTCGAATGCGCTGTTGTCGGTTGTGACTTAACGTAGTGCAACATAAAAAAAGTAGATAATACTAAACATAAAAAATTGTATTAAATTGTGTTTAAGCATAATTTCAAAAAAAATGTTATAAAATCTTGAATCCATAACTAATTAATTTAACTACTTTTCATGATATTTTGCCAACATTTCAGAATTGAATCTATTACAAATTTGCAGTGTTGGCAATTAGTGGCAACACGGTCAAATTGCGAGCTGCGACGTCATAGAAATAAATTCTGGGTTTTTATTTGGAGGTATTTCTTTTTTTTCTGTTTTCTCGAGAAGGACTATGAATTTTTCAAAAGTAAAAATACAAAAAAATCTGTTTTTAGTTGCTTTATCCAAATAAGTATGCCAATTTCAAAAATTAGTGAAAGAGCCCATTTGCAAATACTCAAACGACTCACTCTAATTCTATGCCCACCTGAGCTGAACTGAGAACTATGCAACAAATGTACTTAAAGTATAAAGTATTCAATATTTTAAATATACTTATAGTATCAAGTACAAATGTACTTACAGTATCGAGTATTTTACCTAAAGTGAGAAAAAAACAGTACCTACAAGTAGCAGTAATATTATTTCCAGTAAGTATACAGTATTTAGAGTACGTTTCATATGCATTTGAGTATTTATAAAATGTGTACTTTAAGCACTTATGAGTAGGTACTTAGACTATTTATTGAGGTACTTTACCATGTACAGGGCGGCTCAAATTTGAACCTCATCGCGATTCTGGTGTTTATTTTTTCCTGGTTTTATTTGAAGAGATCGAGAAAAATCAAGATAACTTTCTCAGAGTGGACTTGAATGTATTATTGTTATTTAGAAAATTGGACTTTTCGGTTTTCCAAGATCATCATCAACCTAGTTTTTTTCTAATAAGAGTCCTGAATTGACTTTGTCCTATTTTTGACCGGAATGTGACACATAACTATAACTGCATACAGAATTGAGTTGTAAAGTGCAATTTAACACATTAGTTCTTTTAGATTTTTTTCCTTATACAAGCATTCTTCCGAGAAAAGTCGAGAAAAAAGTAGGAAACACTGAAACCTCGACTGAAACTAAATATTCCAAATAAGTACTTAGAGTACCTAAACTATAATATATTTAAAGTAAAATACTGAATAATAAGTAAATACCTACTTTCTTAAAATAGTTTAAATAGATACTTTAAGTACATTTGAAAACTACTTTTCAGTAGATCCAAATTTTCAGTACATTTTCAAGTAGTAAGTACCTAGTACCTACTTAAAATAAATTGCTAAGTACAAGTACTGATATACAATGTACTGAATATTTTATGATATTTTTCTAATCAGTTCTTATCGAGGTACTGATGCCCACAAAGTATTTTTGTTCAGTATTTTCTTACTTTCAAAGCCTTTTCTAAAACGACTACACTCTAATATAAGGCGATTCAAAGGAAGTCTATGTGTGTATAGCTTGGTGTATAGGTTTCAAATATGAGCTAATGCCAATAGTGAATTTGTAGTAAGAATAATAAGCATTATTTTAATTCAATTTAGGTAAACTTGGCTCACTACCTTAAATACATCCTGGGTTGTACTTGATACTCGGCAATATTTTGAGCTTCACATATCCAACAAGATAAATCCACAGCTACAGTTTTGCCTTGTAGTTCGTAAAGGGGCTTTCGGTCACAAAAGGGGGTCAGAAGGGTCCATAAATGTTTAACACCCATTTTATTAATGCTTTTCCAGTTTATGAGAGAACATTTCTGTTTGTTGTTTATGTTTTCTTTTTTTTTTGGGTTAGAAAAGTGAGGTTTGGTTTGTGGAGTAATCGAGACTCTTCTTTTCGTCAGATGTTACCCTTGGTACATAATGTGCGTTTTTATTCTCATCGGTGGATTCACCGATGAGTTAGCTATCTTTGTTTAGTGAATGGAAAATGACAATGACCGACATAGAATGGTGGATCCATCGGTAAAATTTGATGAGAATAAAAACGCAGGGATACCTTACGTTCCAATAGCCAATTCAAAGTAGATTGGAGCAACCTCGGATTGGAGCGACAGGGATTTTGGGTCATGTGATGCCAGAACAGCGGGAGGAACAAGAATCGTAAACTAACAGGGATTGCTCATCCTCATAAGGCATACGTTCGCCAATTCTCGAGTCGGCAAGGCCTGCGAGTGACGTCACCAGTATTAACAGCATAGCAACTTATTGTGGTGACGTCACCCGCAGGCTTCGATGGGATGTTTGCGATTCAGGGTGTGCTTGCTTTTCGTCGATTTTAAATGAAGAAAAGGTGATGATTTTAACAAGATTATAACGTTTAGGAATTGGTGTTTCTGATGTATACCGTTTTAAACTCGGCTAATGCATTAAAAGAGAGGAAAAAAAATTGCTCCTGATGCTCCAAAATGTAATATGGGAACGGCCACGAACGGCCGTCAGATAAACTCGTTCTGATCCGGAGTGAATGAAGGAACGGTTCGGATCTATAATAGCCAAAACATGGATAAAGGAACGTAACCATAGTACCTGTCCATTTGTCTAATGACCGTTTGCACCCAAGCTTAGACATTCAACCATTGCCGACGTCATAACTAAGTCGTCAGCTGTTTAAACAGCCTACGTCAAGGCGAGAAACGCCATGCTGCCTACGTCACAACTGGTTGTTTGGCCTGGGGGGGTAGGCGGGGGAAATTTGTTACACACATCCTTATGAGTATGAGGATAGGCCATCCTGTAGTAGTGTGTATCATCCTCGGTTTGCACCGACCATTTTTAGGAAGCCATGCCTCATTCTCACAACAATAAATGTTTTCGCCTAAACTGTAACATTTGTTGTTTGGATTGAAAATGTTAATAAGTTTTATGTGTTTTGTCTTGAGTAGGTGAAGCGTTGTCCTACGGACATAAGGAGTAGGAACGCGCCATTCTGCTATGAAACAAAAACAGAATTTTCGCGACGAACTACTTCCATGATTTCATGAACTCAAACGCGTTCTCGAGACACTCATGACGTCATATTAAACGTAGCTCGCCGGAAGCATGGACGCAACTTCAAGCCAGCATTCAAACTCATGACGTCACAAATGAACTCTATTGATGAACTATATAAATTCGTCGCGAAAATTCGGTTAAAGTGAAGCTAGTTTTTAGCAGGTGTGTGTCGCTGATCCCAAACATAAATGGATAAACAAAAAACGCTTCTAATGCTGCTAATTTACGAGGTCATAATAGGTCTGTTTTTGCAGAAATCAGTATCACAAACCAGTCAGAGTGAATTTCATTGGTTGAAACTAGCTTTCTGACTGTTTTCAACCAATGAAGCTCACTCTGACTGGTTTGTGATTTCTGCAGAAACAGACCCTATAGTTGTATTCCTTTCACACCTAGGAGGAGCTCCGGAACAGCTCCGGGGCTTCACGCGCTTATTCCTTTCGAAAAGTGTTTGTTGCACCTGAGTGCTCAAGCCCGACTCAAACCATTTAAATGCTTGAAAGCCAGCGCATCTGTTCCTTTCAAATTGGGGTCGACTAACACCGGAGCGAGTAGCTCTAGTGTTTCAAGTTCTTGAAAGGAATACAACTAATGTAAACAACTGGAACAGCTGTGAGCGTGCGCAGTAGATACATGTACTGTGCGTGCGCAAAATATAGCCAACTAAAATGAAGGATATTTCAAAATTAGAGCCGTTGTTCGAAAGATAAGACACTGCGCAGGCGGCTGTTCCGTTGCACAACTGTTCGTAGAATATTGACTCCAAATTTTCGCACAATTTTAGCTAGTCAAGCAGTACGATTGTTTATTCATTTATTTTTGAGCTTCATTTTCCGACTGCATGTTTTGCTATATCCGTTTAGCGAAAGGATTTTAGATGTTTACGAGCTTCGCAATCACAACCACAACGGCGACAATAGAGAGTTCTCGTGTTGTCCAAATTTGAAATACCGTAACGTTATTTGTCAAATAGAGAGTTCTCGTGCTGTCCAAATTTCAAATACCGTAACGCTATTTGACAAGAATGACAGTTTTTACGGTATTAGCGTTAGCGGAGCCCGCTATCTAACGGGACTTAGCGTATGCCTTACCGTAACGCTATGCTATGTCAAGATTAGTTTACGCTCCATTTACGTCTGCAAGAACAGCAACTTCTAATAATTCCTGCATAAAAAACACCAAGGGAAAATTAATCAAACTCAAAATCTTCAGGATAAATAAGTAAGAAAGCAAAAAAAAAAAGTTAGGTTAGATCACTCAACTCAGCCGTCAAAATGTAAACAGAATAAGGGATTAGAAGATTTATGTGTCCGAGAACTATAAAATACCAAGTTAAATACCGTATTGTTAACGGTACCGTATTAGCGTAGCGTCTGAAGCACGAGAACTCTCTAATATGACAGTTATTACGGTATTAGCGTTAGGGAGAATAGGGCAATCCAACGACCTGTCAAAATGGAGGCCAATGCCTTTTTATTTTGAATAAATGCCGTTTTATTGCGATTTTTGATTTGTATAAAGTCTGTAAAGTGTGGATTTTTTGGAAAATGCATACATTATGTATTGTACTTAGTTGTGGGAGCCGTTCTTATCGCGAGAAAGTCTTGTTTCATGCCGTTCCTGCAGAGACAAAACATAGGTTTTTAACGGAGAAAAACGATTTGTCTGTAGTTCGTAAAGTGTAAAGGTTTCATGGATTGTAGCAAGAGAGAAAAAATCTGACGAAATCCATATTAAAAAACCAAAAAGTCTCTCTACATAAGCGGGGTATGGTCTGTATGGATCCAAGCCTTACTATCCTCCACATCAACTTGAGTCGATACCTTGAATAGCAGACAAATAAAAAAAAACATCTGGATTCAGGATTTGGTTAAGAAAAACTAAACAGGAAATAAATCCTGGATAGTATCTACCTAATTGTTTAGTAGGTAAAGGTTTATCACAAAGAAATCATAAATTTTGCAAACATCCTGGTTAAACACTAATATTTTCTTAAACTAAAAACTTTCCATCCTAAAATACGAAAATTATCCATCCAAGCACTAGAAAATCATCTTAAAACACCACAAAATATACAAAAAACAGTTTTTTGATGAAAAATGTCACGGTTGTTTGAATTAAATTTATGGCGCCAATTTTTTGGCATTGACCGCCATTTTGTTTGGATTGCCTTATTCTCATGAGCGTAAGTTGACATTTCTGGCGTAATCACGTGATAATATAGTATAATTTGATTGGTAAAGTATCGAACATGGCAAATATTTTACCAATAAAACCCAACCATTTTATCACGTGATTACGCCAGAAATGTCAACTTACGCTCATGAGAATTCGCCCTTAGCGGAGCCTGATACCTAGCGGGAGTTAGCGGAAGCCTTACCGTAACGCTATGCTATGACTAGTTTACGTTCCGTTAACTGCAAGAACAGCAACTTCTACAAAAAAAAGTTGGGTTAGATCATTCAATTCAGCTGTCAAAATGCAAACCATAGAGATGTAAACAGAATAAGGGATTAGAGGATTTTTGTGTCTTCGTGTCCGAGAACTATAAAACACCATTTTTTAAAATACTGTATTGTTAGCGGTATCGCTCTAAGGCGGTAGCGTATTAGCGTAGAGCCTAGCGTCTGAGGCACGAAAATTTTCTAGTAGCATATTCAAGAAACACTATATAATAGGCACAGGCTTTGGGCTACAAGGCCGATAAATATTCTATAAAAATTCTCCTATAGGAGAAGGGACATCGAGGGAACTTATGTTACACTTGTAAAAGATATGCAACATGGAGCAGTTGGATAAAGTCCAATTTTTCAAATACACACTAATGAACAATAACCAGTTCAAATATTTGCAGAAACTAATTTTATTTCCAAACGTCATATAACAGTCATTTTTGTGATCATTTTGACAAGGTATAAGTGGCACTTCAATGACTTTCAGCTTGAGCGGCGTATAAAGTCGCACATTCTGACATATTTGTATACGAGTATGTCAGAATAGAAGGTTTTTCGGACGTCGGAAAACGGATGCATGACTGCATGAGACTCCGGCCTTAGTGTTAAACTCCGCCGGAGTATATAACATTTATACGCCGTTACACATGTTTTTCCATAGCGATTTAAGGTACCTAGTTCATTTGTACAGGGTCTGTTCCCTATAATTAGTGTGGCTTCTACAGCTTAAACCAAAAATAATTTAAAAAAAAGGTAAATACAAAATTTTATTTCTATCTTTTGGAAATGTCAAACGGCCAAATGACAGTTGCCAACTGTTATAATGACAAACACTTGCATTTTTTTAAATCGAACACCCTGTATATTTTTGGCTAGAATGATAGATTTTTTTCTCTTGATTCCAAATATACCATATATGTTGGAAGATAAAAATCTATCATTCTCGCCAAAAATATACAGGGTGTTCCATTTAAAAAAATGCAACTGCTTGTCATTATGACAGTTGGCACCTGTCATTTGCCCATTTTGACTTTTGCAAAAGATAATGGAGATTATTTCATTCATGACATAATAGACGAATCAGACAACGTCATTTTTTTAATACATTTTGTTTAAATAAATGATTATTGCACAAGACCTGTTTTTTCGCGATTAAATTTCTGTTTACCTTTTTTGACAGAAATTTGATAGAAATATTGTCACATTTTATCATAAATAGAACTCTTTGTTGTTGGCTTTAAACCCAGTTATTCACGAAATAATCTAGCTGGTATATCACTCGACCTTAAATTTAAATGGAATAAGCTATCCAAATATTTTTTGCAATATTTTGCTTTTTGGCAAATAGTTTCATGCACAATAACTTTCAAATAAAATCCCTCGACCGCTTCACGGTCTCGGGCTTTTATTAAGTTACTGTGCATTCAACTATTTTCCAAGCAAAATCATGCCCAAAATATGTTGAATAGTTTAATCGATTAAATTTAAAGCTCTTGTGATATAATATATGATAAAACCCTACAACTTTTGCATTTAACTTTTTTTCAAATTATTTTTTGTTTAAGCTGTAAAAGGCGCACTAATAATATGAATGTCATAATTTAAATTAAAAATTTTGCACTATTCGGAATAAAGATTGTTTGAAAATAAAATAATGTCGTATTTCATTCGGAGTATACGTATTCTTCATGTAACTTGCATGGATTTGATTCGCCTCGCTGCTGCGCTCGGCGTTCAAACTTCCATGGGCATCACATAAGTATTACCATTGTATACTTATACTCCAAATGAAATAAATATCTATTTCTTTCCCTAAAAAAAGGCGGAAAATTTTAATTTTAGCTATGAGCATGCGCATATTCAAGCTTGTCATAAGCATGAGGAGGTAACGCATAAAAGTTGAAAGTTAGGAACTTTGTAGTTATTTATTGTTTATGTTTGTGTTATGCTTCAATCGTTAAGACTTATTATGCTTTCAGTACAATTTTATTAGAATTCGTATATTTAACTTTTATGACTTATGCGCTAAAATTATGCTTAATCAATAATTTATGCTTATGTGTTCACTGTTCACTAAACCCGGTATAAAGTCGCGTTGTTAAGCAATGTGGGGTGAATTCTTCAATTTTTCAATTTCCTGATACGTCTTTTTTTCAAAGATTTCGGCTTCAAATTTCATAATAATCTAGTATATGGAATTTGGGAGTCTCAGATGATCAACCAAACAAAATCTCAACACAAAAAAATTTGAAATTTCATTATTTTAGTACTAAGGTGGTACCTTTTGACTTGGGTGCCTCTATTATGTGTCTCCACATGTGCCAATATGACACGCGTTTTAGTGAGTCAGCAATATATAGACTTCTAAGCAAAAGAAAAAGTGATAACTGTGTGAAGTTGCCTGAAAAATCGCTCAGAACAGACAGGTGTCCCCGTTCAACTGGTCAAAAATGCTAGGGTAGGTATATAGAGGAACCATAGAAAAGTAATTTGTCGGAAGTGCGTCGTTTCCAAAATACAGGGTGTTGAAATTCAAACAACCCCCTTTCATATCATCTGGAGGGCTAATGCTAGGCTGTTCAAATTTTCAGGGATTATTGATGTAGGAATGATATTTGAAAGTTCGTATTATGCACCTTCATTTTCTACCCCCAAAAAAAAAATTGAAACAAATTGCTTTTTTTCCAAATTTTATTTTTTATTTTTTTTTTGCGATGGTTCCAGGTAGAAAAAGGAGGTGCATTATACGAATTTTTAAATATCATTTCTATATCAATAATCCCTGGAAATTTGAACAGCCTAGCATTAGCCCTTCAGATGATATTATGAAAGGAGGTTGTTTAAATTTTAACACCCTGTATTTTGGAAACGACACACTTCCGACCATCGGTGTCCTATCTCAAACTACTTCTTTATGGTTCCTCTATATACCCTAGCATTTTTGACTAGTTGAACGGGGACACTCTGTATATTCGTTTTATTCAAACCAGGAGATCCCAACAATAGATAAAATATTAGCAGTATATTATAAGGGCGGACGAGAACCTATACTAGAAATAAACTTTTTGTACATTCTCCAGTAAATCGAGTAGTAAATTATTGATTTATGATATAGATTAATTAAGGAGCCCTTAACTGCAAAGTCGCTGATGGTGGACGATTTGTTCCAAAATATCGGACTAATAACCCTTGGTAAAGTTTTATGACACTATTGTATTCAGTACCGAGTGTGTCGGTAAAATATTGTTAGAACAACCGGGTTTATGCTTTTGTTACATTTACGTATTATTCAATACTCACCCTGTTTTCGTCCCTTTTTTTAAATGTATAGTGAGGTTCTGTGCTCCTAACGAAAAGGAAACAGTAGAGCATGCATAAACTATATTGTGTTCCTTTTGCACATGAAGCACTAGCAGAGGTCTATGTCAATAAACAATAAAACACAATGTGTTAAATACAGAGAAAAATTTTAATTTAGAAATTTTCAATGTTGATATGGTATAATTATGTACAAGGGGTAAAAATCATCAATAAAAACAAGACATCTTACAGACTTAAAAACTCTCTACAATAAGTGTGAAACAGCTTCAATAAAATGAGTAATCAAAAAATAATCATCCTTTATGTAGCTTCGTCAAACGCTTCTATTAAAATATTAAAGTTTTTCTTAATAATAATAATAATAATAATAGTTGTTTTACACATCTAAACATTAAATACATTTATTTTCAGTAATTAGGCCTAAATATTATGTAACGTTTTAAATTTTTCTTTGTTACGTATGGTTTTGTAAACTTTAATATTTTAATATAAGTGCAACAAGTTTCTAACAATAGAAACTAAAAAAGGATGAAAATAAAAAAATACATAATGAAAAAATATAATTAACAGTAAAGTCATCAGAACAAGGAAAACTAATATTTTTCGCTAAAATTCTACAATGGATTTCTTTAAAAATGTGCATTTTTATACAATGTTTTGCTAAATATAATTCATGTCTCTGTTTCAGACAGAAAATTTACGTATCTTGAGTTTTTACAATTTAAATGTTTTTGGTACATTGAGTACAGAATTTTGAATAATCACTTTTGAGATTATAGAACACATTAATTTATTTCTATAGAAAACCTTAAATAAAAAACTGAGCGTGGAATTTGAAAAAATCTAATATTGCACAAGTAGTTGCGTTTTCAGGTGCCAAAACAATAAACATTACAAAAAAAAAAAAATATTCAACAACAATCTGTTAAATTCTTTGTGGACTGAGAGAACTGCGTTAATATAGTATGTATTTTAAAATAGTTACTTAAATTTAACGATATGTTCAAACACTCTATTTTACATTTTTTTTTTTTGGGAAAATTAAAGCTATATTCTTCGTGTGTGAAATATAAAAATGAGATCTTAAATATTGAATTTATTGAGAAAATTATTACATACATATTTTTATTATAAAAGTTTGATTTACTGGCCGTTTTTTGTCATTTATAATAATATTATACTATTTTGTTTATAAATATTATATGCCCTTTTTTGTTGTGTTTGTAGACTAGACTATTTTTATGAAAAAAAAAATTTCAAAATTAAAATTTTCGGTTCTATTTTTAAAAGACTTAACAATAGTGCCCTATTATCATTTTATTTTTGATTGCGATAATTATTTACAAAACTTTGGGGAAAATATGGTATAGAAAGTAGTTTTTTTTACATCTAAAAAATAACTTAATTATTGTAGGCATGGTTATTTAAATTTTGTTTTTGGAAACTTTTTGTTCTATGTGAAACTAGAAAGTTCCGTTGTCCCTTTTGTTGGTGTGAAAAGAGTGTCTTCTCTGATTTGTTTAATAGATATATAATTTTGCAAAAATAAAGGGTTTCCATCGTGCACGATGTAGTAATGATTCGCAATTTAAAATAACTATACCTACAGAACGTATTTTTAACAAGTGTAAACGCTTTTTGCCAAGACTCTCTGTATCCAAGGACTCAGATTAAATTTAAATTAAAATAAGAAATGAGGATCGAATAAAGATCAGATACTTTCTTCAAAAGCAAAAAACAATTTTTGGCCTTCATCAGTTGTATCAATTTGCGAAAAATTGCAAACAAATTTCAAAAAGCACGAGAAATGTTAAAAAAAATTAAATAAAAAAAAATATTTGAAAACTTATCAAGTTTATATCACAAAATGTTTAAAACATTTTAGCCTTAAATTTTAAAAGTACGGACTAAAAACTTTTTAATTTTTTTCCATTTTTCGTTTTTAATCATTTTATAACGGGTAACAGTCTTTTTTTAACTACTAAAATTGCTAATAATGTATAGTACAATTAATTAATGATAATTGATAATATTAAAAAAATGATTGAAAAACAAGTTTTTTGTTATTTTTCCTATATACAAACCGATTTTTCTTATAAATGCTTGTTGTATAATAAAAAAATAACAATTATTAAATCTTTTTAAAACTTGGCAAGACATATGATTTTTTTAGCATAATAGTTTTTACAATAAATTGGAAATATAACAAAATCTTAGTATGTACTAATAAAAAAAAATTAAATAAAAACATCACATTTCTCTCATAAATATTCTTTGTTTTCAAGTCATAATACTATAAATCCAACTTTTGTTTTTAATCCAAACATTTTGGATGATTGCACTTTGTTTAAAATAATATATTTTACAAAAAGTTACTTTTTAAAACCCAATCTCAATCATAGAGTCCAAAAGCAAGGATTCAAAAAGTACCATTATTATTCAATTGTCCCAAAATCATTTTTTAAAGAAAGTTTGAATTTTTGGCTTCAATAATAATAATTTAATTCACTGAGGAATTTGATCACACATATTCACTATAATACACAACTCATTTGGTTTCTCAATATTCCCATCTTTCATCCTCGTTTTCCGTTTTGGCTTCTTTCCTTTCACTGTCACCTTCAGACGTTTCCATATTTTCAGCATGACTTTCGCCATCTTCAGGTCTATTGTCACTCTCGTGAATTTGATCTTGACTGGCGTCGTGGCTCACGCTACTCGTCTCGCTCCGATCGTCATCATACCGATCCATCACAGCTTGAGGTTCAACTCGGATCGTTTCCTCTGTAGAGGGCCGTCGAGGATTGAAATTGTCTTCGGTTTGCATTACGCAGACCTGGAAAAAAAAACATTCTGGATTAGCTCCAAATTCTTTGATCTTTGACTTAGTTTAAGTTTCTTTAGTTGGACTTATATATTCTCACACTAATACTTGGCATAGCTTAGTTTAGTTGCTGATCAATCAAAATTATGTTTAAGTTGGTGCTGATAACAAATTGATAGACAAAAGAGAAATGTGTCAAGACAACAAAGAGAAATAGTGTGTATCATTAGTATGTTGAAAATCTAGAGCAGCACATTTTTAGCTCCGTTGTCTATTTCCATATTAAAAAAGTTTATTGAAGCACACTGAAGAAAGAGTTGTTTTATTAATACCACAAGCTTCCTAACTTATGGGCCCAGCAAGCTCATATTTGTGGTAGTCTGGAGATTTTTTTGTGTTTATATGTCTAAGGTGAAATCAAGGAGGCTCCAACACTGAGTAAGTTGAACAATTCTAACTGTAATGTTTGGAAGTTTCAGGTAAGAGATGTGCTGATGGCAAAAGGCCTTTACGAGATCATCCATGGAAATGAAGTAGCTCCAATTGGTGATGATGATAAGCGAAATGGAAATTAAAAGATGCCAGAGGCCAGGAAGCTCCAGTTATGAGAATGGAGGTATGCATAACCAAAGTTACGAATTTGCAAGCAAAACTTAAGTAACAGGGGGAAGAAATTCCAGAAAAAACGATATTGACAAAAATTATCATGACGTTGCCAGAAAAGTATAAGCATTTTCGTTCAGCTTGGGAGAGTGTCAGCCCGGACAACCAAACCCTAAATCATTTGACAACCCGCCTCTTAACTTGAAGAAGAAAGAATAAAAAAGATGAAGACTCGACAGTGGCACTTATGTCAGTTCACCGACAGCCAAGAAGCCCCTCATTGTCAAAGAATGCAAATTATGTCAATAAGTAACAAAAACAACAAAGGACATGTTTTGCCTGTGAAAAAGTTGGACATTTAAAATTTCAGTGCCGAAATGTTCACTGTAGCTATTAGGCCGGCATACACACTCGTTATTTCGCGCGGTTCATCGTGACATGTTGGGATGTGGCCGATGTGGCGGTTAGCATGCGCGAAAGAACGGTGTGGCAGAAAAACCGTCATGTTCCATACACTTGACGGAGTATTCAAATGATTTAGAAAGTATTCAAATGATTTAGCACGTGATTACACTTGGAATATCAGTTTCAAAGGAAAACTCGTAGAGTAAGAATCAAACGAGAAGAAGCCATGGACGTCAGCGCTGACAAAGAAGGCAGATTTCCTTTTCTGTGGGCCCCTCCCATTTGAAGTGAGACAAACGATAACGCGTGTGGCTTCTTCTTGTTTGATTTTTACTCTATGTGTGTTGCAAAAACTGTCAATTTTTAACGTTGAAAATTAGTACATGACCACATGCACTTTCAAACGACACGATAAATGACAGTTTTTGCCAACACACATACGAGTTTTCCTTTGAAACTGATATTTCACGTGTAATCACGTGCTAAATCATTTGAATACTTTGTCAAGTATATGGAAGATGACGGTTTTTTTGCCACGCCGTTTTTTCACGCATGCTAACCGCAACATCCCAACATGCGACGATAAACTGCGCGAAATAACGTGTGTGTATGCCGGCCTATTGCGAAAGAAAAGGGCATACGGGTAAAGTGTTATGTATATGTTCCACGTATAGTGTAGCCACAGCTTAATTTGTGTTTGACATAAGTCATTCATACTTTTCAGATATTGCATTGCATCATTGCATGATCCCGCTCGAATGAACATGTATATAACTTGATAATTTGCTTTAGTAAAAACTAAAAAAACTAGAAAATCTTGTAAATTGATTATGAAAAACATGGTGCAGTAGGGCTTTATAAAATAATTAAAGTTTATTTGTGGAGGAAGATTTGGTATTTTTCTTTTTGTTTTAGCACTGGTGAACTCCTTTGTGTACTGCGGTAGCGTGCCACCAGAGACTTTGTTTAAAGTCCCACTGAAAATCTAGGTAACTTTGAACGGATTCTTTTTAGTAATCTGATTAGATTGCCTCTGCCAGTGCGGGTTCTTGCTACCTGAGCTGTACGCAGTTAGTTGGAATGCTATAGCTCGGGGTTTTCCAAAGGAAATAAAAGAATCGGTTCGTCTTACTAAACTCTAACAATGGTTTATTGAACAAATGGTAAATCTTGGTAAGGAAATGAAGAAAAAGCAAAGAATATACAGTAAGTTATTAACAGCAAACAAATTAACAATGTTTACTGAAATGAAGTGAAAGAAAATTACACACAGAGCTTTGGAATGATAGGGAGTGAAATTGATGAGCGTCCTGTATAGGGCGTTCCTTGATGGTACAAGATACATGAGAAATTAAAGATTAAAAGGTACAGAAAATAAAGACTAGGTTTCTAGGTTATAATTCTTAGTGGGTAAAAGTCACGGGCGTCCTCGACAAGGGAATGACAAAACGGCCTTGTTATTCAGGGTAAGATACATGTTGGAAAGGAGATGTGAATTGTGAAGCTGACCCAATGGTTTTGTTCTTTACACAGGGCAGAAAATAAATAATAGACAGAAAACAACAATCATGATGAATAAATTAAAATATTTGAAATTGAAACATTACCTAAGGTCTCGGAAAGGGAGTCAGTCAATACTTAAACACCAGAACTTTGTTACAGAACTGAATGAATCTAGGAGATTCACAGGCTTATTTATATTGGCAGCTTGATGACGCTTCTGGGATTCTTATCGGTCGCAAAACATGCGGTTTGTTCATGGAACCAGGAGTCGAGAGTCGTATTTTAAGACACAATTAAGACACTTTTTCGGGGTCCGACTGATAACCCTTGGCTCTTGACACGGTTTCGTCAGAAATTTAGCGACTAAATCTCGCTGGGTAAAGAAATCAATTAATTGTATTACGAAGCAAAAAAAAAGGATTTTTAGGGCCGTTTTGTTACATTATGCAAAAAGACCAATCAATAGACCAATATATGACTGAGTTAAAAAAACAGTAGGCAAAGCTTTGTGACTTTATGTGAAAAAAAAATGATTGTTCAGAGTCTTATGAAGAAAGATTGATCAGAGACCAACTCATTATTGGACTTAGGTGTAAAGAAAGCCAGCTACGATTGTTGAGAAAACAAGATCTAACAACAAAAAAGATAATAGATTATTGCAAAAGCATAGAACTAAGTAAAGAGCATGTGAAAGTATTGTCAAAAGAGGAAGAAGTGAATCTTGTAAAAAACCTAAACAAAAAAACACTTTGTCGTAAGTGCCTGTATGAACACAACCCAAATAGATGCTCAGCTAAAGACAAAAAACGTGGAATATGTAAGAAAATTAAACAGTTTGCAAAAGCCCGCTTCTTTAAAAATGAAAACGAGAATCAAAACAATAATGAAAGGTATGAAGCAAGAAACAAAACAGAAAGAGATGCAAGACGGGAACAACATGCATTTGAGTCTAGAGGAACTTCAGAACAAAATGTAAGTTTTGTGGAAGAAGAAAATGATCCAGGTCAGGACTTGTATGTAAATATGTGCAACAATAGTGGTAAGACAGAAAATTGTAGATCTTGGGGGTTGAGAATATAAATGTAGAGGGCACAAAAGTTTAAACTTGATTCAGGTTCTGCTACCAATATTTTACCTAAAAATTTTTTTGATCAGATTAAAAATAAACCAAGTCTAAACCATTGGTCCTGTTACACTCGTTTCACATGGAAATTTTAAATTTAAGCCTATGGGACAGGTACATTTAAAATGCTCTTTTAAAGATAAGGTTTTGTATACATAAATTTTGTTATTGTTAACTTTGCTTCTGAACCTTTATTAGGACTGTTTAAGATTTTCTTTAATTAAAAAAATTAACAACCTTAAACTCAGAACTAAAAACTAAAGATGATGTTTACAAATATTATAGTGACGTGTTTGAAGGTCTAGGACAGATTCCAGGATATTTTAATATAGAATTGCAAATGCAACACCTGTTGTACAATGTCCTAGGAAAGTTCTCAGAGCCTTTCACGAACCTTTCAAAAAGACACTTGACAAGTTAAAAAGCCAGAACATAATAGAAAAGGTTACTTATCCCACAGAATGGGTAAATAGTCTAATGATTACAGAAAAACCAGACAAAAGCCTTAGAATTTGCATTGACCCAAAGCCTTTAAAAAAATTTATAAAGGGAGAACACTTTATGATACAGTTGGCAGGTAAGACAATATTTACAGTAATTGATATGAAGGATGGCTTCTGGCAATGTGTTTTAGATAAACAGAGTTCAGATCTTTGTGATTTTAATTCACCATTTGGACAATACAAATTCAGTCGTCTTCCTTTTGGAATTTCGAATGGTCCAGAATTATTTCAGGGAAAAAGTTTTGAGATTTTTGGACAAATATAAAATGTTCATATTTATTTTGATGACTTGATATTAGCGACTGACTCATAAATTGAGCATGATATAACATAAAGGACTGTTATGCTAAAAAGAAAAAGGATGAAAAGGATAAGCAAACCAATAATTACAATGGGAACGTCGCTATTGTTGCAGTGTCTGATGTCTCAGATAAATGTTGAGTGGTTCATGGATAGTGGGGCTTCACAACATATGTGTCAAGACACGGAAGTACATATTTTGTTTTTTTGAAGAATTAGAAGAGCCAAAGTGTGTGAAAATTGGTGACGGTACAACTTTATTAAAGGCTGTTGGTTTGTATTTTAGCCTATAATGGTCAGAGGTTTCATCGTGTAACATTATTTGATGTTCTGTTTGCGCCACAACTCAAAGTTAATTTGTTTTCTCAAGGAAAGGCTCTAGATAAAGACTTGTATCTCGTTTCAGATGCTGAAAAGGCACAATTTATGAACAGGGGAATGTTAACCATTGTTACAGCAATACGTTCTGATAGGCTTTTTAAAATTATGTTCTAGTCTGTAGTTAAGTCCAGCTTTTCTGAACACACATGTCGATGTCTAAAGAATAATACTCGGTTAGAGGGTGAAAATTGTTTCTTTTCAAAAAATAACCAAGATATCCAATGAACAATGTAGAGAACTTGATAAGGGGTTTTCATTCCAGCTTGATGGCCGTCGTAAGTTGGAATTTCTTCCTGACGTTTCGCTAATACGCGTGGCACAGAGTAATACCTGATGTGGAAGCGGGAGAAATCCGTATTGAGACAGCCAACATTCTACGAAAGTCTCGACCACCAACCAGTAACCTCTCTAAGAAAGAGCTAATGGCAATTAGGAACCTGAATTCAGCGGAAGATTTGATCATTTTACCTGCGGATAAGGGCAACGCAACTGTCCTGTTAAGACCTGAAGACTACTACGGGAAAATTCAGGAACTCCTTGATCCATCTACCTACCGAAAGCTAAAGAAGGATCCCACACAAGCCACACTCCGGAATACCAACAAACTGATTAGGTCATCTACCCTAACAGACCCGGTTAAGACACGGCCTACCCAAAATTGACAAACCGGAAGTCCCACTAAGACCTATAGTGAGTGCATCTAGAGCACCAACGTACAACCTAGCGAAACATCTTGCATCGCTTCTTCAACCGCATGTAGGAAAAATTAGCTCGTACGTCAAGGACTCCATTCACTTTGTCCGGAAAATTAGGTATATTATTCTTCAACCTAACGATATCTTGGTCAGTTTTGATGTCGTGTCCCTATTCACAAAAGTGCCATTGACAGAATCTCTTGACTTGATATCAAGTACCTTCCCCAATGACATAGTTGAGCTTTTCCGGACATATCTCATTGGTAGTTACTACCTGTGGAACGGCGATTTCTACGAGCAAATGGACGGTGTAGCTATGGGAAGTCCGCTCAGCCCGGTCATAGCCAACTTCTTTATGGAGGAATTCGAGAGAAAAGCTAAGAATCTTTTGACCAGAAACCAACGGTATGGCTTCGATACGTAGATGATACTTTTGTTGTTTGGAGTCATGGGGAAGAGAAGATTAACCAGCTCCTAGGCCACCTGAACAAGCAACATCCTAGCATAGAATTTACCATAGAAAAGGAGAAAAACCAGGAAATCGCCTTCTTAGATGTGCTCATAAAGAAATCTGGACGAAAACAAAGCCACACGGTGTACCGAAAGCTTACACACACGGAAAGGTACGTGCATGTACTCTCAAACCACCCTCCAAGGCAAAAACGTGGAATTATAACAACGTTAATAGAACGTGCTCGGAACATCTGCGAGCCATAATATCTCGAGCAAGAACTGGATCATTTCAAGTCGGCCTTTTTATCAAATGGTTACAGTGCATCTCAAATCGACAGGGCCATGCGACCCAAAACTGCCATACGACAAAACGTGGATGAACAACCAATGGTGGCTTATGCATATCTGCCTTTCATTTCTCGGGTGACAGACAGGATAGGGAAAGTCTTGAGGAACCCACTGTCAAGCGGTGGAGTCTATCGTATACCATGCACATGTAGTAAGGTATTCATAGGAACGACAAAAAGATCCATGGGAACCAGGATGAACGAGCACAAAAGAAACTGCAGGCTAGGACAATCGGAAAAATCGGCAGTTGCGGAACATGCGCTTAGTGAAGGGAATCATGAAATACTCTTTGGTGAGGTCAAGCTTCTTGCACCGACTTCCGGATACCACAATCGTCTTGTACGTGAAGCTATAGAAATCCACAAACATACTGAGAACTTCCAGAGGAAAAAAGAAACACTAAAGTTTAAACAAATCTGGAACCCGATCCTCAAAAACGCCAGAAAGATCCCATTGAGTACAGAGAAAGTTGAGATTAGCCACGTACCGCGAAGCCTCGCCCCTCCCCCACCACAGCCACTCACACATCAATATAACTTACGGTCGAGAACGCGTCAGTCTGCTACCAGAATCGGACATGGAAGCACCTCTGAAGATGCTAGCGAAACGTCAGGAAGAAATTCCAACTTACGACGGTCATTAAGCCCGAATGAAACCCCTTATTAATAAACCTGGGCCGCGAAAGCCTCACAAACTTTAATATAGAGAACCTTTCAAGGGAAATGAAAGTAGGGCAGATGAACTCGGGGCTATGATTCATATGAAGCACACTGAAGAAAGAGTTGTTTTATTACTACCACAAGCTTCCTCAATATAAAGGGCGATCCAATTTTATAAGTAAAGAAATCTCACTTACCCCATTAATGATAACTTCATCCTGATTACTTTGGCTTTTCTGCTGACTCTGGCTGATTTTCTCTTCCTCCCAATGCGGATTCACCCACATCGGAGCTGCCGGTTTTCTCCGAGAAGATCGTCCCTGATTCAGACTGGCATTAGAAACATTTTGCTCTTTGCCTACTTCATTCTTAGCGTCATCTTGTATACTACCCGAAATATTCGAGTCTTCAGAACCTGCATTCGACTCCATATCATCATCATCCTCGAATTCGTTAGGTTCACGTTTCAGGGAGGTCATACTCAGGTCCAAGCCGCTCATTTGTTCTTTCACGGCATTGTTAAGAGCTGAGAGGTCGCTGAGATCGGCGGTAGGTAGGAGCCCTCTGGATATAAGGGCCGCCAAGCTGGTGTTAGCGGCTAGATATGGTGGGTAAGGAAGCGGCACTCCAGAGAGTCCCATTCGTTCTTTACTAAGCTCCATAAGTCTTTGGTTTAGTAGCATCCTGAATTGAACAGGGTCGAAGGGTTGCTGAGACGCGTTCGGGTCACGTGGAGGAATATCTGACTGGATACCATGCGGCACTTGCTGTTTCAGTCTCATGCGATGATTATGGAACCTAAATATTAATTATTTTGTTAAAAATATCGTTAGTAAAATTTGATTAGGTTATTCTCACCAATTTGTAATAGTCCTGCTACTCAAACTCAATTCCTGAGCCAAAAACTCGATAGTGGCAACGTTGGGGTACGGATCCAGGGCAAACGCGAGCCTCAAGGCTTCCTTTTGTTCTTCGCTGAAAAGAACTCGTTGTTTTTTGGCATTTGGAGGTCCTTGAGGTCCGGGACTATTCGAATGATAGAATTCTGAGGTATCGTTGCTGGAAGTGTCGCTGGAATTGTCGTGGCCGGGCCCAGAGCTGCGTCGTCGTTTGTTAGCTTCGCGTCGTTCGTTTTTAAGAGCTTGAAGTCTGGAATAAGCAGTTTAAAATGTAGTGTTTGAACCTTAGTTTTATATTAATTTAGTTTATTGATGTACTCCCCTAATGACATCATTTTAAAGTCTGGATACATAACAGAAAATTAATGTGTACTAAAGATATGAATAATTAACGTACCGGTCAATATTGTGAGTATCCTGAAGCCATAACTGCATTCGTATGAAAGGTTCACGGCCTTTAATTGACAACATATGCCAAGGCTTTGGTTTAGAGAGGAGTTCACTTACGGAACCTTGTGAGAGGCCCAGCACAGCTTCACCAAAAATCTAAAATAAATGAAACATACATGTAAATGCAGTAATTCTAAGTATCAGCAGTTACAAATCAAAAAAGCTAAACAATATAAACGCAGAAATCCAATTGATGCTACTAACCTTTTGTCCAATATTATTAGCCAAAAGCGCCTCTTTAATTTTCGTTGTGATAACTTGCGTATCCAAATCCTGAGTGAGAGCGGCCATTTCATAAACACTTGGACTCATGTGCTGGTGCATATTCCTCATGCCTTGGTGGCCCATGGGAGAATGAGTGGGAATGCCGTGTCCCGCTTGCATGCTTTGCTGCTGCTTTTTCAACAATTCTTGGTTTTGCAAAGCTATGGCATGATGTGGAGGAAGTCCTAAGTGATTCAAAAGTTGACTTTGAGGTATTTGAGCTGCAACTGGTGGACCTAGTGGAGGCGGTTGAGGAGGGCCTCCTTGATGCGGTGGGCCTGAAATAATAATACATATTCAATTATTAACTTAGAGACTAAATGTTATTGCTTCTTACCTAATTGTAAAGATGCTGGTAAAAGATTCTGACTGTCTTGCTGAATTTTCGTTAACAAACCAGCAGCTTCGGATAGCATTTTCGGATTGGGTGGTAAATTAGGTTTAGAAAGAACTGTCGCGCAGGCTAAAATTAAATATCGAAGCAATTAATTTTTGAAACAATGAATTTGAAAAGTATATTTACCGTTGCCGTAACCACCTGTCCTCATTAATTTCTCCGGTGCAATTTTGTATTGGCTCGCTACCAATTTGTGTACGGCATCAGGATCTTCGAGGAACATCTTCATTCGGATAAAAGGTTCGCGGCCTTTTTGAGTCAGCATATGCCAAGGCTTCGGTCTGGCTAGTAAGTCACTAACGGACCCTTGACTGAGACCCAAAACGCTTTCACCAAAAAGTCTTTGGGATATCGAATACTGACTTAATTGTTCTTTGACCTTTTTAACAATGTCTTCAGTATTTAAATTATTGTAGAGATCAAATTGTTGTTGGGTAATTGGAGGTAGAACTGCCTTTAGAGGGCGCTGACTGCTAGAATGGTGAGGTTGAGATGGCGGCTGTGAGATTAGTGAATTTGTGATTGATGCCATTCGCTGCAAAGGGGATGCTGCTGCTGAAGCTAAAATATAATAATCAGTAAATATACATAAATAAATATTTAGGTTTTCTTACAAGTAAAATCTTCACTAGTTGGAGTCATAGGAGGTAAAATAGAATTTCCCAAGGGGCTTGAAGCTGTACTATTCCCACTAGCCCCCGTACCAGGTTCAATCTTTGGCCTAACTAAACTAAAAGCACTTCCGGAATGCCTGGACATGGAATCCTCATCTTTATCTTTAATATCATCCATCCCATTGACCATTTTTATTTTGTCTTTTGGTAAAGATAAATCTTGAACACCCCCATTCGATTGTTGTTGTTGATGTTGGTGTTGGTGTTGTTGATTTTGTTGGTGTTGAGCTAAAGCTTGTTGTTGAAGTGCTAAAAGGCCCAAAGGCATTTGATTTGGTTGGTTAGGGTTGTTGAGCTTTGCTAGTTCTCGATGGTACGCATCCAGTGCCATTCTGATATCATCGGTTCTGTCCAAGGTATGGTTGCTAAAGAATTGAGGAAGAAACATACTGCATATTAGTTTAGCGCTGCTCTTAATAATTGGCGTTGAATTGATTTGTGTTAATAGTATTGAAAAGTAACTCACCCCTGTGGAAATCCATCTCTAGGGCTCCTCATATCTTCCATTCTTCGACCCATTAGCTTAGCCAATTCTTCTTGATAAATTCTTACGACTTTTTCTTGTGAAATGTCATCGTTTTCGTATTTTTTCAATCGTTTGCTCAACGAAGATTCTTTTGAAAACGGGCTGCTACATCCGTGAGGTGACTTTGAATCCTCATTACTATGAGTATCAGATTCGGTTTTAATTTGTGAAAAAGGGTGTGCTTCACTTAAAATGTGAGCTATTCTTTCCTCGGTTAGATCTGAAGAATCGGGACGTCCGAAAGGTAAAGAGCCTCCGTCTTTTCCTGAGGACGAAAAATTATCTGTAAGGATAATTCGGAAAAAAAATGTCTTAGTTGAGGTGTTGATTTTTTTTTGTATATAATTATTCTAGATATAGGTAAGCATAATTTAAAGTAAAGTTTTAATTGCTAAATTAAAAAAGTTAATGGTTGGTTTTAATGGCTTATTGATTGTTCAGTTCCTGGTAATTTCCTTAGTGTGGATTTTTCTTTGGTTAGACTTTAGAAAATAATTGATTTTTATCCGGTATAGCCGAAAATTATATAAAGTTTTTTACTGGTTTTTACACATGCAAGGAATTTCGGGGCACGCAATCCAATAGCACTCCAGTCAATCAGCGTTTTGTTTGTATTTTTGGTTATACAATTATTGTGAAGAAAATAAGATGCAAATAATTTGTAGCAAACTTAGTATAGCTATTAGATGATAATATTTACTCTATAAATGTAAAAGATCAAACATACATAATTGAATATAATTCTGTCTGATTTCCCTTTAAAAACTAACAGTAAAGCAAAATCACATAGTTAAAGAGGACATTTTTACAATCTTTTGTGCATTTCCCATGACTAAAATAATTGTGCCGCAGAGACTGTCATTGTGCTAAGTATAGATTCCTATTGTGGGGAGATAAATATGTAAGTATTAAAATGTCATTTGGTAATGTTAGATGATTTCTTTTTTTTTTTTAAATAAAATTTTTCTTATTGTCCTGTTAAACGAACAAAAATTGTTTTGTTTATTATAAAATTCACCGTTTGTTGTCTGTCTGAGTGTTTATCTAATAATTTGTTATTATTAATAAGGAAATGACTAAGAAGTTTTTTCCAAAGAGGCTAATTGATATGGATGTTGTTTTACTGTTATAGCTTAAAGGCATCATTATTTGATGATTACGATTTATATATTGAAGCAATAAAATAATTATTTGAAACACGCGAAGAAAAATATTTTGAAAAAATTGTGATTCGGAATAACCACAATCCCATAAGATGTTTCGGATGTTAAAATTTGAGAAACCATGATTCAAATTAAGAAGAAAATTCGAAATATATTTGACAAACTAATACAAAAGTGATCAACAGAGATGTGATCAATTAATTGTCACTCTGTCATACACCTTTTTAAAATATGAAAATAAATGATTGGTCTCAAGACTTCCATAAAGATGTAGAATGTTCTTCAACACCTTCCCTCATTAGAAATCTTGGTTAGGCCCATATTGTCACATAAAATGTCATGTCTTGGTTTGAACAAGGTTTTTGTCATTATATCAGCAACTTGAGCTTCGGTAGACGGTTTGTGTACACTCAAAGTTTCTTCTAAGACAAGCTCTCTCACATAAAAATGTCGAATATGAATGTACTTGGTTTTCTTGTGGCTCTCAGGATTTTGTGCCAAACGAATAGCTGCTTCGTTGTCAACTAATAACTCTGGAATTTCAACCAGTGTTATTATTTCTTCATATACCTATAATCTTTTTAACCATACAAGTTCTTTTGAAGCTTTGCTAGCTGCACCGATCTCCGCTTCTGTTATAACTAAAGGTTGTCTCTGACTCATCCCGAATATAGCACCTCCAACATAAACACATACCACTCCTGTTGTGGAGCGTCCTGTTTTTATATCCCCTGTATGACCAGCATCACTAAAACCTTGTTGGATTTTGCAAACTTCTTTGACATCAGGTAAAGTAATACTCCAACAGCCTCTCTATATGAAAAATTTGATATTTCGGCTTCTTCTGAAGGAGAATTATCCTTAACAATTGGAGTTTTGAAGGGTCAGCAATTATTCATGCCAAATTTTTTTCAACAATTTCTTGGCATATATATTTTCATTATGATAACCGATTCATTCTTTGATTTCATGATTTCCATAACCAAAAAATATGATGCAGGCTTGTAGCAAATCTAGCAACTATGGGCTAAATGTCTCAACATAATCTTGATATTTCTTCTGTTTTGTGACTAGTCTCGCTTTGAATTTATCTATAGAGTCAACTGGATTGTATTTTAACTTGTACACCCCTTTATTTGGTATAGTCTTCTTACCATTGGGAAGCTTTCCTGAAATACAAACACAGTTCTGCTCTAAAGACTTCATTTCTCTTCCCATGGCCATTTTCTAGTCATTTGCTCTATTACTTGACATAGTTCTCGGTACGTAATTGGCTCATTTATTTCTATAATGTCTGCAGCAACCATCATAGCGAAATCTTCGAACCTGCCAGGCTTTTGTATCTGATTTCTATCTCTCATTTGTCTATTCGGTACATTTGGGACTTCTTCTGAAATGTCATTATCTAGTGATTCTACTAAGATGTCAGAGCGAGTGTCAGAAAAACTGTGATTCCCCAAACTATCATCTTCTAAGTCCATTGTTTTCTTTAGTTTCTTGTTCTGGAGTACCTTCTATGCTTCTGACAATCTTACAATAATTGTTTTGCTGGGAAATTCCAACAGGGTCTTCCAAAAATGGCAACGTTGAAGTTATGAGTTTTTCGTCGAATATCACATCTCTCGATTTGACTAGTTTCTCAGATTTCTTACTCCAAATCCGATATCCATCATCTTATAAGTATGGCTTTCACTGCCTTTTTATCAATTTTCTTTCTTTCTGACTTTGGTACATGGGCAAAATTTGTGTACAAGTTGGTCAAAATCCCAGAAAATCTCATAAAAACTACTTAAAATCCCTAAAAATCTTTAAAATCCTTAGAAGATTAATAAAATCCCACAAAATCTCTTGAAATCGCATAAAATCCTACAAAATCTCACACAATTTTATTTATACTAAAAAAATCCTGCAAAATCTCATAAAATCATTAACATTCCTAAAAAATATTTCCTTTGAAATTCCCAAAAATCCATTGGAATCCCCAAAAATCTGTTAAAGTCCCTAAAAATTCCATAATTTACTGGAATTTCGAAGAATTTCGGTAGAATTATGTTATTCTAAAAAAGGAATTGCATGTGGAATTTTTGCGGAGTTTCCATAGAAACACATTTAATTTTAGTTCCTCTCGAATTACATGAAATTTCAGAGAAATTCCGATTAAATTACACGAAATCCTAAATGAATTGCATGGAGGAATTCTAAACAATTATGTATATGAAATTACACCGAAATTCCCAACATGAAATTTCAGTTCTTACTGAATTTTAGTAAAATTCCACAAATGGAATGCCGAGGAATTTCTAGCTAAAAACATGGAATTTCGGAGAAATTTAGAAAAATTCCCATGTAATGACATGAAATTTCAATATATTTTGCTGATTTTTCAAGAAATTCCTGGCTATTAAAAGAGAATTCCAGTGAAATTCCGTAAAATTCTTATGAAAATAAATGAAATTTTGAAACATTCCTTAAAGTTTCATTGGATTTTCGAGAAATTTTCGGCTAATAACGTGGAATTACAAAATATTCTCATAAAATTTCAGGGAATTCCGAGGAATTGCAGTTTTTCAGAAATTACATGAAATATCAATGAAATTCCGAAAAATTTTATGAGTGGTGAAATTTTGGGGAATTTTAATACAGTAAAAAAAAAATATGAAATTTTGAATTTGAAATTTTAGTGGAATTCCGAGAAATTTCATGAAATCCTATACTGAATTTTAGTAAAATTCCAGAATATTTCACAAGCTTAATTCCGAAGAATTTCCGTCTAAAAACTTGGAGCTTCGGTGAAATTTGGAAAAATGCCCATGTAATGACATGAAATTTCAATATATTTCGGTAAATTACCAAGAAATTACTTGAAGCTTTATTTATATTCTCAGGAATTCCTGACTATTGAAAGAGAATTTTAGTGAAATTCCGAAAAATTCTTATGGAATTACCTAAATGAAATTTTGAAAAAAAAAATTGAAGTTTTATTGTTTCGACTAATAACGTCGAATTTTAGTGAAATTTCAAAAAATTCTCATAAAATTTCAGTGAAATTACGAAGAATTTCTAAGAAATTATATGAAATGTCAGTGAAATTCCGAAGAATTTGTGGAATTCCAGGATATTTCAATGGTGATGTTTTTGGGGAATTTCAGTAAAGTTTTGAAAAAATTATGAAATTTGGAATTTTTATAGAATTTTGGAGAATTTCAGTGGGATTTCGAAAATAAAAATTATGGAATTTTCGCAGAATTTCCATCAAATTATGCCTATAATTCCACTTTACGTCGACTTACATAAAACTTCGAAGAAATGTCGAGTAAAATTCCAAGGAATTCTCGTCGAATTACATGAAATTCCTTGAAACCTTATTGTGGAATTTTAGTGAAATTACATGGAATGCGAAGAACTCCCTTGAAATTAAACAGAATTTCCGTGGAATTCCTATGGAAATTGAATTAAATTTTAGTGAAATTCAGAGTAATTTCTGTCCAGTTTCATAAAATTTTAGTGGAATTCCACGAAATTTCGTGAAATTTTATGCTGTAATTCCGAAGAATTTTTGTACCTACAAGAATTCCATTGAATTTTATAGTGGAATTCCATGGAATCTTATGGTGAAATTCGGAAAAGTATTATGAAATCTTATAGTAAAATTTCTAGGACTTTCAATTTTTCTATCCAAATTTGTCATTCGAAGGGAATATCGAGGAATTCTATTAAATCTTCTAATAAAATCCTAAGGAATTTCTATGGAACTAACAAAAATTTTTGCAGAATATCCATGGAATAATTTGAAATTTTAGTGGTATTCCGAAAAACGTCATGAAATTTCATAGTGTAATTTCGAAGAATTTTTGTTTACGAATTCCATTGAATTTTATGGTGGAATTCCATAGAACCTTATGATGAAATTCGGAAAAGTATTATGAAATCTTATAGTAAGATTTGTAGGAATTTACGTTTTTCCATTCAAATTTGTCACTTGAATGGAATTTTGAGGAAGGAATTCCATAAAATTTTTTAATGAAATTCTAAGGAATTTCTATGTAGTTCACTAAAATTTTCGTGAAATTCCCATGGAATAACTTGAAATTTTAGTGGAATT